ATCACACACATACACACACACATATATATATATATATATATATATATATATATATATAGAGAGAGAGAGAGAGAGAGGAGAGAGAGAGAGAATAAATGAACAAATATCCCAGCCAACATTGCATTTGGTCCCCTTCTTCCTACATAGTCTGCACCACTTAACAAATCAGGAATCTGTATTCAATGTCAGCTTTTCATCATCAGATAAATATATTTTTAAAATAATGCAAATATAAAGTGAAGTATTTACATGGGTGGGATCCTTATAAAGAGATATAACTGTGTGGTCCTTACCAGAGGCTGTGTGTGGGTGTGGGCCTGTGCATGTGGGGCCCTGTGCGAGTGTGTGTGTATGTGGGCCTGTGCATGTGTGTGTGCCCGTGTGCGTATACTACTTAGCAATGACTGAACAGTAATCAAGAAAGCAGCCTGAGTGCCCAGCACCACACTGGGCAGTGCTGACCCGGGCAAGGTAACTCACATCGAAAGACCCAGACTCTTATGGGGCATGAGCCCCACAGAGCCTCATCGCGTACTGAGAGGTAAGAGCCAGGCCATACAAAGCCCCGGCTAATCTGTTCTGCCCTGGAGGGAGTATTGCCCTAATGACAGAGACAAAATTTCTTTTTAATATAATTTTTCATTTTCTCCTTTGTAAAGATTTTACAAAAGGTTTTCCTTTTGCAATTTGTAAATTATTTGAAAGACTAGAAAACATCAGCAAATAAGATATTTTACAGAAATCTAGAAAAACACCTGGAATGCCTGGGAGGCTCAGCGGTTGAGCACCTGCCTTTAGCCCAGTCATGACCCCGGGGTCCTGGGATCGAGTCTCGCGTCGGGCTCCCGGTGCAAGGAGCCTGCTTCTCCCTCTGCCTGTGTCTCTGCCTCTCTCTCCGTGTCTCTCATGAATAAATAAATTAGATCTTTAAAAAAAAAAAAAAGAAAAAAACAGTTAACATTTGGTAAGTTATATATCTTCAGAGGATGGTTTAATATATGAGTCCGTTTTGTCGGCAAAATAAGGAGGAATGTTTAATCAGAGGCAGTAACCAACCAGAAACTGAGTAAGCTTTCACGTGGGAGAAACAGACCACTTCAGAAAGGAGATGAGGGTGATTTTCATTTATCCTTTTTGCCTTCTTTTACTGAATCAATTATGGGAAGTTGGGTAATTTTATTCTTTAAGTCTTGGAATCATTTAGAAACTCACATACATCATGATGGTTCTGATATCTATAATTTTGTTATTTCTAGACAGATTCTTATTTTGAGCCCTCTGCCTAATAAATGTCCCAATAAAGCCTTTTTTTGACATGTCAATATATCAAACTTTCTCCATTAGCAGGATGCTTTGTAACTTTTTGTACTTGGTTGAATGGTGTCCTCCCTGAAAATTTAATCCACTCAGAACCTCATTATAAAATTATTTAGAAATGGAGAATCTGCAGATGTAATCTGGTTAAGATGAGGTCATACTGCATCAGTGTGGACTCTGACGGAAGGATTGGCATCCTTAGAAAATATTATACTGGTGAAGGTTTGAAAAGCACAAAAAGCACACTCCTGTTTATCCCCTCTTGATGCTGGAAATCCCAAGACTTCCACGTAAAAAAAGCTTGATCTAACCACCTGCAATGTGAAAAGAACATCTGTGGAGCAATCCGAACCATTTCAGCCGTCCCAGCTGAGGTCCTAGACATGAGGGTGAAGCCACCGTAGATAATCCAGCTCTGGCTGAGCCAACTGAGGCTAAAGGAAACATCCACCAACCCAGAGAGCTGTGAGAAATAATAAGCCATTGTTGAAAGCAATTAAATGCTGTGAAGGGTCTGCTATGAAGGAAAGGCCCCAAAGTTCATAAAACTTCAAATGCATGCTCCTCTGTCATCGCCACGAATACAAGTACTTCTTTGCATAATTATCCTAGACCTCCTTCTCCATTCTCACTTCCCAGCTACTCTCCTTATAAAGAGAACTCACCTGTTTGATATGCTTTTCTTAGGGAATTTATTTCCTTTTCTGGTTTGACTGTTCTCTCCAGAATTCAAGCTTATCATCTACCCTTATCAGCCTACAACAGCAATTATTCCCTCCAAATCTGTTTTTTAAAGTAGGTGAGATAGAGAAGAACCCAAAGTTATGACAATGTTGCCTCAAATGTCTCTCAAATCCATTCTCTCCCCCACTTCATTCCTGTTGACTCATTATTTTAGGACTTTTTTCTTGCCCGTGTAACTACATATCATAAAGTCTCCTAGACCTTCAGTCCCACCCCTACAAATCCATCCCCTTTATGGTTGCCAGAATGATCTTCTAAAATAAAAATTTGCTTAAGACCCTTTCATGGGTTCTCATTTGGGTCTGCCTACGTCAAAACAAACAAAAAATATACCGGGGTTTCACTAAATACTTGCTGGACACTATACCAAGCATTATGCATATAAAGTTGAATAAGCCAATAGCTGCTCTCATGGAGTTTCTATTCCCTTAAAGGGGGACTGACAGATAAAGACATATTTTTGATGTAGTATGAAAAGTGCTAAAATGGAGGGAAGCACAGAGGAAGAAAATTGGCAAAAGCTTAGGATGTCAGAAAAACTCCCTAGAAATGATGATACTTAAGCAGTCTTACAAGCTGATTGAAATTAGCCGAGCAATGAAGTGCAAAGGGCTGCCAGGCAGGGGGACAGCACAGCAAACATACAGAGTCTTGAATCCGCAGGCTCAGTGGAGGGAATAGACCACAAAGAGCTCCAAATCGCTTGAGGTTCAACTTGAGAGGTGGTATAGGGAAGTCGTGTCTTAAAAAGGGAGCAAAGTGGTAGTAGGCAGTCTGATATCCTGCAAAGGTGTCTACATTTTAATTTCCAAGACTTATGCGTCTGTATGTTCCATGGCAATGGGAAATTAAGGTTGTTTGGTGGAATTAAGGCTGCTAATCAGATGATCTCAAAATAAAGAAATTATCAGGGTGCCTGGGTGGCTCAGTCGGTTAAGCTCACATCTTGACCTCTAGGTCATGAGACTTGATTTTGGCTCACGTCTTGACCTCTAGGTCATGAGACTGAGCCCATGTATGCTGGGCATGGAGCCTGCTTAAGATTCTCTCCCTCTGCCCCTCCTCCCCATCCATGCTCTCTTGTTATCTAAAGAATAAAAATAAAAGATAAATTATCACAGGTCATCTAGATGGACTCAATGTAATCAACAGATTTTTTTTTTAGAATTTTAATTTTTTTTTTATGATAGTCACAGCGAGAGAGAGAGAGAGAGAGAGAGAGAGAGAGAGAGAGAGAGGCAGAGGGAGAAGCAGGCTCCATGCACCTGGAGCCCGACATGGGATTCGATCCCGGGTCTCCAGGATCGCGCCCTGGGCCAAAGGCAGGCGCCAAACCGCTGCGCCACCCAGGGATCCCATCAACAGATTTTTGATTATAGAAAAGGAGGCAGAGGTCTTAGAGATCTGAAAACACTACATGCCAGATTTGAAGTGGGAAGACAGGCAAGCTTCTAGACGCCATAAGGAGGAAGGACATAGGCCCCAGAAGAATGCAGGCTTGCCAACCCCTTGACTTCAGTAGGATGGGATTCATTTCAGACTGCTGAGCTCAGTTATTTTAAGACAATGCCTCTGTGTTGTTTGAAGCCACTAAAATTATGGTCATTTGTTACAGCAGGAAGAGAAAACTAATACAGGGACCCAGTCACAGGGGCTGTGATATGCTTCATGGTAAGTTTTACAGCAACTGGGGATTTACTAGAACAGGGAGAGACGGCATCAGAGGCCAGTTTGATTTAAAAAAAAAAAAAAATGTACTGTTGGGTAAAAGGTGGCCCGGATGGGAAAGGCAGGGAGAACAGGCCTTTAATTCTGCCCTGTTTTGGTGATGGGGTAGCTTGAGATTTGAATACACTGAATTGGAGATGCCTGTGCGATGTCAATGATGGGGAGCGCTGGCAGGGGACTATCTATCACCCAAACCCAGATTTCAGATTCAGGAGTCCCATGCATACGAGGGGCATTAAAACAGACAGAGCAGACCTACGACTAGCCTAGCGGGTTGACTAAGAAACTGTCTCTGGGCCCACCATTCAATGAAGTAACTATCATTCTTCTTTAACCTTTGGGGGAAAAGAGGTCATTATCGGCAAGGCTGTTATAAAGATGGAATGTGGGGAGCACTCAGCATGGTGCCTGGAGTTCGCAGTCTCAGTAAATAGTAGGTTATTATTACCAAATGGGCCAAAAAGAAGAAAGAACAAGGAAGAGTTAAGGAATCCTAGGGGCCTAAGGCCCTCAGGGTCCTCATGGTCTGGTTGGTTCCTCCAAGGAAGGGCCAGGTTTGAGTCACGGGGGGGGGGTCCCCAGTGCCCCTCCAGGGACAGGCCCCCAGGGGTCAGGCATCTTACAGACCCTGTTTGGAGGGCTGAGAGGAGGCAACAGAGGGATGTAGGAGAGAGCAAGGGAGGCGGAGAGGAGGGAGCAGGAGAAAGGAAGAGAGCTAGGCTGGAAAGAGGAAGGCTAGAGGGAGGAGGCCAGGAGGGAGGCCACAGTGCAGCCCTGTGGGCCTGGAGGGGTGGTGGGAGCCTGGGTGTGGGGTGTGACCCGGGTTAGGACCCTACAGTGGGCTACAAGGTCACTCCTGGTTTATAGTAGCAGTGGGTGCTGTCCCCAGCCCCCCAAACTGCAGCTCCTTGGCGGCCAGGAGCCCTTAGCCCCCTACCCTCCCACAAAGCTTTCAAAGCTTGGACTTTGGTTTGCGGGACTGATGCGGGCCTCTGGGACCAGGCCCCGTGTGGGGCACCCCCGGCCCAAGCCCCGAGGGCACCGCCCTTCCCCGCCCCCGGGTTCGGAGCCTAGAACGCCGCGGCCACCGAGCCTCGCGGGCAGGGTACTGGCCAGTCCGGGTCCAGTCACCACGGAGGGAGGACGACGGGGAAGGGGTGTGAGGGAAGGAGACGGGGGCGCGGAGGCAGGCAGAGGGGCCCGGGGGGGGCATGGAGCTGTACCTCAGCGCCTGCTCCAAGGCTGCCAGCGACGCGGCCACCAAGACGGCCTGCAGCAGCCTGGCGGCGGACAGCCAGCGATGCGGAGACGTGAGTGCCCGCCGCGGTCGGCTGAGGGGGGGGAGGGGGCGCACACCTGCCCGCGTTCCTAACCTCCGCCTGGGGCCGCGTGCGGGTAGGTCCAGGCGGGGTGGGGGGGCGAGAGGGCACCGCACACCTGCTGCACGTTCCTAACCTCCCGCCTCGGCCGCGTGCGGGCAGCTCCAAGCCTGGGGCGGGGGGGGGGGATATTGCAGGGGCATCGCACACCTGCCAGGCGTTCCTCACCTCCTAACCTCCAGCCTCAGGCCCCCCCCCCCGTGGGGACAGCTCCAGGCCTGGGGGCGGGGGGGGGGTGCAGGGGCGCCGCACACCTGCCAGGCGTTCCTCACCTCCTAACCTCCAGCCTCAGCCCCTCCCCCCCGTGGGGACAGCTCCAGGCCTGGGGGCGGGGGGGGGTGCAGGGGCGCCGCACACCTGCCAGGCGTTCCTCACCTCCTAACCTCCAGCCTCAGGCCCCCCCAATGCGGACAGCTCCAGGCCTGGTGGGGGGCAGCTCCAGGCCTGGGGGCGGGGGGGGTGCAGGGGCGCCGCACACCTGCCGCGCGTTCCTAACCTCCCAACGGCCGGTCCTGAACCGCAGGTCCCGGGCGCCCCGTGCGGCAGCGGGTGGCGGTGGCGGGGGCTGCTCGGCAACTGGCTGCAGGGAGGCGGGGGGCGCGCGCTGCGGCTGCGAGCTGGGCGGGACCGGGCCGGACTGCAGGACTCTCCAGCTCCCGGGCTGGAGGGCGAGCGGATGGGCCTCGGGCCTAATACCCAAAGGGCTTGAAAGGCCCAACTCCCCGATTGCATCCGCAGGGCGTGCACAAAACCCACCTACGAGGGGTCGGAGCGGGTCAACTCCTGGATCTGCCTCTCGGGGTCAAGCTGCCTGTGATCCCGGGGAGCAACACTTTATACTATACCACGAAGATAAGTGAAAAGGTAAAGTGGTTTTTAACGATCTTACGTTGCTTTTCTTTGCTCTTTCCTACCGGCTGTTAGATTGGGGCGCTGCAGGTGCAGAGTCCAACAGGAAACAATAAGGATCCCACACCCAACCTAAGACAGAGCTGAGGATGCACATCGAGCAACTTCATCTTAGTAGAGTTTGCCCGGAACCCTGGGCTATATATAAAGTTTAGATTCTTAGTTCTGTCTTATAATGCATGGGACCACATTAACTTTCCTTTATAATAACTTTATACCTGGTTAGTGAGATTTTTTGTCAGAAAGGCCGGAGGTTACTGGTGCCAGCTGGCCATTTAATTGTGTCACGATTTTAAGGCATCATAACCTGGACAAAACTCGCATTGCACAACACTTCTCTACGATTTTGCTTAGAGCTGCATTCTATTTCGTACATTAAGTGAGAAAAAAGTGAAGTCGGAATAAGTGAACATGTTTACTATTTAACTAATGGCTCCATGATTTGCCCCAACTTCCCCATCCAGTCCTTTCTGTAATCCCACCTGTGGTCTCCTGTGCCTTACTCACACATACCACGTTGATATTTCTGGGTGTTTTTTGGCCTTGCTTCCCAAACCTGACATATCCTTTCCTCCTCTGCCCAATCTCTGAATTTGAACCGCCTTTTGAGATTCTTTCTGAACTATTACAGCCCCCAGTTAGCTTATCTTTCCTTAAAATTTGCATTGTCCTTGGTTTGTATGATTTTACTCAACACTTATGATTTTATAATTATGATTGTATAATGGAAGTCATCCTGGGGTGTAGTGTGCTTCCCTCAAACCCTTTCATGCTTTTAGTCCTCAACGCTACCTCTACCTTCAAACCGCCCCAGCCTTTGACTCAGTAAACTAAAGCTTAAGGAGGCTCAGGACATTCTTTTTCGAGAGGTTACTTTGGTCATACTGCAAACAGACTATTTTACATGAAAGAATTCCGAGTGACCTCTGTGCCCTCCTTCTATCTATGATGTCATCAGAAATGACTAGGGCCCCTTGGTATCGGAAACTTGCCTAACCAACATGATGTCTTAAAGTGAGTTTTGTTTCTGGGAAACACGTAATTTCCCTTTGTTCTACTAGACTAAAGCAAGCTAAGGAAAAAGATGCCGCCTCACACTGTTCGAGCCACATCCAAACCAGCTCGCTTTCCTACGCGTGCATAAAACCTTTCACAACCCCTTTTTAGGATGTAAACTTAGCCCTGCCTTTCATCTGCTTATTCAAATATATTGGTTGCCCAATTACCATTTCTGTCAAATAGTAATTCACTTTTCAACTACTCTTTTCAAAGATGTTCTATTCTTGATTACATTCACTCCCCACCAAACTGTCTTCATTTAATCATAGTTAGGCACCAGACTATTGCCTTAAAGACTGACTTTGTGAGTCCTTCTTTTTCTTTCAGTACAATCTCCTCAATAAAGTGATGCTTTGCATTTACACTTTTAGTATTTTTTTTTTAAGAGAAACCAATCCCTTTAATTGACAACAGAATGCATACCCTGGCTGTAATGAATGGATGTGTCTAAAAGGTGTTCCTCATCTACAGGTCAGCAGCCTAAGTTTGGTCTTGAGAAACATATTGCCATCATAGCTAAAGTTCAACAGCTAAGAGATGTTGACAGCTAAATGTCAAGATCTTAAAAAAAAAAAAAAAATCCACTCTTGAGTCATGATTGTTGATTGTTCTCCTTACAGGAAAGGTATGGGCTTTATAACTAAATTCAAGACACCATCCTAAAAGATTCTTTTCTTTGCCCTCTCAGAGAAACATTAGTAATTAGGGAATTCTGCTGTGTGATGTACGCACTTGGAAGACATTGAAACCTCGTGTTAAGCAAGAAGTCAGACTTTTTTTTTAATAAATTAATTTTTATTGGTGTTCAATTTACCAACATACAGAATAACACCCAGTGCTCATCCCGTCAAGTGTCCCCCTCAGTGCCCGTCACCCACTCACCCCCACCCCCCGCCCTCCTCTCCTTCCACCACCCCCAGTTCATTTCCCAGAGTTAGGAGTCTTTATGTTCTGTCTCCCTTTCTGATATTTCCCACCCATTTCTTCTCCCTTCCCTTATATTCCCTTTCACTATTATTCATATTTAGAAGCTTCCTTGATAGAGACTTATCAAGGAAGCTTCTAAATGGAAAAGGAAAGCCGGCATCCTATCAGATTCCTCCCGTCTGCCCCTTTGCCCACATATGAAACATCCTCCCTCCTGAATCTTGAGGGAGTTCTTTATAGGGTCCTACCCAGCCAGGCTCCTCCACTTTAACCCTCCACTTTTTCCTTTCACAGGTTCCCCAACTACCCATCGTCACCATCTTGCCATTGAAAAATGGACTAGGAACTCACACACCCACACAAAACCCACCCCACTCTGGTAATAATGTTTTCATTTACAAAGGAGATGAGATAATTCAGCTGTTTCCTCTCAAGTAACAGAGAAACGTGGTTATTAGCTGATATTTTCCTTCTTTTATATGCTAATGATTACTGTAGTTGGTCTTTACATGTATGTAGAAACCTCCATCCTTATCAATATCTTTTATAATTGGTTTTTCAATATATTGAACTTTATAATACAGACCTTGGTTTTTTTCCCTGACTGTAGCACTCCGAGACCTATGGGTTTCTTGCCTTAGATAAGACGCCAACACAAAATGACTTTTATTATCTTTAACATCTGAGTTTTGCTTCTACTTTTCTTGGTTAAAATTGTTTCCATGAGTCTGTTTTCTTCATTTTCAGATTACTGAGACATAATAACCATAATTAATATCATCCCTTTATCCTTTTAGTTGAAGTGAGTACCTTGATTTGAAAGAGGGAGAAGGAAAAGGAAAAATCATAGCTTTTACACCCTTTATACATTAAAACAGATTTTATTCCTTTTCTTTTCCTTCTTTCTTCTCTGGCTCAGGACTAGGGACTGATAGTGATCAGGGGAGGAATTAATTGAGTGAGGGTAGGTTTTTAGAGTAAGTCAGGTCAGTGGGGAGAAGTCGGGATAATAGATTCATGTTGCCTAATCCAAATCTTTCTGCTGCTGGTTTTTCCCCACTTCAAATTCTTCTGGTGTGCTTTATTTTCAGTGAACAGTCTAGTCATTTCAATGGATTGACATTTAAAAGTGAAATTCATTACTTTTACCTTTTAATATTTTAAAATCTTGTATTTGCAGCTTTTTCGACCTTCTTACGGTTTCAACCTGAATGATCCTTATTGTCGACTTTTGGAAAACCAATATAAAAGTCTCCATGATCCACATTTAAGAGAATACTATAAGCGCAAAGATATTCTGAGAAGATTAAAGAAAGGTGGCTATATCACCAGCAATAATAAAGTGGGTTGCAGATTAATTCTTTTTAATCATTGCAAACCTCCGAGAATTGATAAAGTTTGCTTCTGTACCTCACTGGGGGGTAGAGGGGGAGGGTCTGTATCACCTTTAACTTGGTCGTGAGAAATATTTAATGGGAAATTTCACAAATTACTCAGGATTTGGATCAAGGGAAACCAGACAACTGTCTTTTCTACCTGAAACTACTTCTTCCCTCGCCTTTTTTTCTTTGTAATATCAAAAGACGATTACCAAAGAATATGAGGATGTAAAAGTAATTTCCCCAAATGTAGCAAGTACTCTTTCTCTGTCTCTAATGTCACTGCATGCTTGTCAAGAACTATGTCCCATAAGCTTTTTAAGAAATTGAGACAAAAGAGGAACCTAGAAAAATCAGCCTGGTAGAATCTTGATGGACTATATTCTTATTGGGGTTAAACATTATTATTACACTGCTAGTTTCTTTTAATAACTCTATTTGTGTAATAAATCCCTTATCATGGGATAGTGCATATTAATGAGGTGATGTTATGTGGATAGAAACTTGCTGTTGACTAAAAATTGCTTTTAGATACTGCTTACAAAATTGTTAGCAATCTATTGCTCTTAATACCAAAATATTATCAAATGGTATGCTATTACTATCTTTCCTTGGAAAGTAATTGCTATGATTTTTAAATAATTGTATTCATATATTTTTGTTATTTTGTTTTTTAGATTGTATGTACCTTGAGGGAATTGAATAAGTACAGGCAATATCTTACCAGTATAAAATTAGACTTTGAAAGAAACTATATAAGAGATCAAGTAAGTTAAATACCTAAATTTGGTTTCTATACATAGGGTTTATTTGTATGCAAATAAATAAAGCTTTATTTGTATGCAAAATATTTTTCATATAATATTTTATTATTATATTTCATATGATATTTTTACTTTTACTCTTAATTTTTATCAAGTACTTTTTCCAAATGAAAATTTAGAAGAGGAATAAATAATATTTTGAGGTTGCTATGTTAAACCAAGGAAAGGAAAAGGGCCAAGTCATCTATTAATATGCCAATGGGAGCTTTCATAATTTAGCAATTAAATTACTACTTAGAAAAAATAAAAATAAATAAATAAATAAATAAATAAATAAATTACTACTTAGATATGTCATTCCTACCTGAGCTAGGAGCAATAGGAAGAGTCTATTGTGGCAGCAAGATTCTTTGGCTTGAGTAACAAGAGAGAAGGAGTATGACTAGTGACTATGTCCTGTAAGTGACTAGAAGAACATGCACACTGTGTATGTGTACCTACACATGCGGCTGTGTTTGTTCAATAAAAATGTTGTGACGTGGAATGATTTGGTGTAGAGTGGGTGTGGATAGGGACTTCCTTTCAATTTTTGACTCAAAGTTTGTGTGAGAGTGTGTGAACACATGCACATGGGGATGAGTGAATTCAGGCTTTGGGGTCAAGAGAGTTGGATAAAAATGAGAAATGTGTGTGTACATTTACAAATTTATGTTCAAAGGTTAAGAGAGTTGTAGACGGGCACCCGGGTGGTTCAGTCGGTGGAGTGACTGACTCTTGGTTTCAGCTCAGGGTCATGATCTCATGGGTCATGGGATGGTGCCCCATGTCGGGCTCCACACTCAGCCAAGAGTCTGCTTGAGAATTCTCTCCCTCATCCTTTCCCCTGACTCATGTGCTCCCACTCTCTGTCCCTCTAAAATAAATAAATAAATCTTAAAACAAAAGAGAATTGTAGAGAAATGATAATGACTTCCTTACACTATTAATTGTTCTATATTTTCCCCAGTTTCACCCTTGTCCCTAGAGTGTCTCCTCCCCTCTTTCCTTATTTTCATTTGATTTTTAAAGAAAAGATAGAAAAATAAGATGAAATATTTATCACTTATTTTCAGAGAAAGACAACTCTATTTTGGGTCAGTTGTCCTTGTCTATAATAGCTTTAAATGCAGTTAAACAGAATGAGCTATTCACAAAGTACAGGAATTTTACTAAGCATATAATAGGACAGTTTTATTTCTGGAGGATGTAAAAAAAAAGGTTTTATATATACATACCCCCATTTACATACATCTATGTATATATGATACACACTTTTTTTTTTATATAGGAAATGCTTGCAAAGCAAGTATATAGACTACATGAAAACAATCAAATACCTGGACGTTCTGATGTTGCACAGTTCCAAAACTGGTTGTTACAGGAAGGCACCCAATCTATGAAGGACCAGGAACAATTAATAAGGCACAGGTAAGACTGAAGTTAATGCATATTTTACTTAAATATTGTGGACCCAAATATGTAGGAAGATACTAGAAAGAAGTGAAGGTAGGATTTTTTTAAATTTTAATTTAATTTAATTTTATTTAATTTTGTTTTAATTTTACTTTTGAGAACTAGACACTGCTTAACACCACTGTGGTCCTTACAATGAAGAAGAAAGGAGACCAAGAGGTACAGGGATTGGGAAATTATAGCGGCAAGGTTATAAAGAGAAATTTCCACTAGAGAAGACAGGGTTACTGGGAGTCCACAAGGTAATCTAAGCTGGCAACTGAAGAACAAAATCAGATCCAAAGCCCTTCCCATTGGAGGAGATAGAGGGAAAGTATCTTTAAGCACAGTAGCTCCCACAGTAGCTTCTTCTGATCATCTTGAAGGATTGATGGTATGAAGTCTGAGGAAGTTAGTGAAAAGTCAAAAAAAGGAAACTATCTAATGCCAATATAAATATGCGATGTCTCTAAACTTTCTAAGTTCTTCAGATGTTACCTACTAACGTTCAGTCATTACCATCCTGTGATCAAGACCATTTGTTAGGAAGTGAAGGGATTTTATAGGTCTTTTTCCTCCTCCTCCATTAAAGTGAGAGATCAGGCTGCAGTACCTGACTTCTTATTTCCATAGTTTTGTTTCATGGTAGTTCCGCAAAACACACTGACATACCGGAGACCCCGACAATAGATGGAAGATTTGTTTGAGGCCTTGTAAATTACAAGGGAGCCCATATACATCGTTTTCTTAGGAATTTCAGATCTGCTTTGTTTGTTTGTTTTCCCAGAATCAAAGCCAGTGTTGCAGTTATTTGAGCTTTCTTTCCAAACCAAAGTCATGTAAACTTACTGCGCAAAATCTTGTCAATTTACTCCACGTTTTACCATTAGCTATGCCATAACAGGTCCTTATATAGTAGAGAGATTCGTATAAGGAGTTGGTGGGCCAGGCTGGCTTAAAGGTCCATGAGCTCATAGGAAAACTGTAAAATTCCTGTAGTTTGAGAAATAAAAAGCTAGCAAGAAGGTGGTTTGGGAATATCAAGGCAGATGATGCCATCATAAGGGACGCACCTTAACTTGTATTTGCACTTTTACTTAGATATTTGGATATGATAAGTAGGGAATTAGAACAACTTGAGCGCACAGCAGAAGAGCAACGCCTACTCCGGATGGACAGAGAAGAAAGACAACAGCGAGAATACACCAGAAGAAAACTTAGCCTTCGTAGAAAAATTGAAGAGGTGAGATGACAAATTGAAAATATTTAGAGGAAAATTGCATCAGTTGTTTCATTTGTAAGAAATTTAGCTGTGCATCATACTTCTTGAAGTCATCTCAGGTCTGAATCATTTATCCGCATTACTCTTCTTTTCACCCCTATAGTGTGCAAGTTGTTACCTAAAATAATGAGGCTGACACCACAAACCATATACATAAGCCAATATCTCCTTTTAAGGAGATCATGGTGAAAGAGGCTAGACACTATTTAACTCCCTAACATCCGCGTTGTGCAGTAGAAAAAATTTAAAAGTTAGCTTTATTTAAAAATAACCACGCGTGCATTCCTAATAGGGGTGGGTAGGAATAAGGCCATCCCAAACCCAATGTATGGCTTTAATTACGCTTGACCTGATTTCTGCTGGGCCCCTGCCTTGTGCTAATATGCCTGGTGCTGTGGACAGAATACAAAGGTTTATTGTGAACGTGTACTGAGTACAGTAACACGGTGCTTTCTAGGAATGGAAGACAAAGGAGATGCTACTCCTGACAAGGATTGGAGAAGACGTTAAAAGAGAAGCCAGGATAGAGGAACAACGGCGTAGAAGCAGAGAAGAGAGTGACAGGAAGGTAGGTAGGCTGAGCCCCCACCTCTCACCGGGGCTGTTTGACGGGAAGAATTTGCCAGTTTTGATATTTGGGAGTCCACTCTGTGACATCACAGTGGACCAGTTACCCCAAATGATATGCATGGTACAGAACGGAAGGTTGTGGAGTTCACTATATTTTGCCTAGATTATATTCTGACAATAATCTAAAAAGTCCTGCTCCACTGTTTGATGCAACTGCTTTTGGCTTTATCTCCCACCGTAAACTAATACTTGGAATTCCTCTAGAAGAAAAATGATAATGATTTTTCCTACACTCAGAATTTCTCGGAACACAAATTCTCAATATTTCCCCACCAGCTAATTTTTTAGAGTAACTTTTTAATTTTAAATGACACATAATATTTTATGAGAGTATAAATTGGTATAAAGAGAAAGAAAACTCATTTGTAATCCCACCCATTGATGTATCATACACACCCACATTTTACAATGTTCCTGTGAAAATCTGTTACTAAAAAAAAAAGAAAATCTATTACAATAAATAAATTCATGTTATTATGTCTTTCAGGGTATTTTATAGATTGCTTTTTCATTTCATAAAATAACATTGACAACTTTCCATGTCATTTAATGCTTGTCAACAATTCCAAATAATTTAGGTAGCTTATTGTTGACAAACCTAGATATGTAGTGTAACATAGATGTAATTTGGTTATATTGGTATATACTACTATGTAGAAATTATTTAATATTATAAATATAAATATGTATGATAAGCTTTTATTCTACTTTTGTCACATGTACCTGTTAGTATTGTCAGGGCTGGTATGCTTAGCTCAGCTTGTTCCACTTTACCATAATTATTATTTACCAATATTCACCTCTTTTTATTCAGTGGCATTCTCTCCAAGTTGCCTTTTTTATTTTTTATTTTTATTTATTTATTTATTTATTTATTTATTTATTTATTTATTTAGAGAGCAACAGAATGCCCCAGATCTCCTCTTTTTGCCTGATAGCAATTAGTATTCAGTGAGTCCTGGCCAATTTTAGTGACAACTAGTGCATTGGGAGAAGTTCTGGCTCTGGGAGGGCCCATTAGACATGACCTGATGGTAGGCTTGGGAACACCACTGGCTGCTGGAGCCAGGTTATTGGAGGAGCTATTTGAATTTTAGATATTTCCAATGGAGTCATTCTAAATTGTTTTCTTTTGAATTTTGTTTTAATAAAACAGATTTTCAGTCCTCTGCTATAACTTCTTAATATCTTAATTTTTTTTCATTGACATTTTTTACTCCAAAGTATGTTCTTAAGTTAGAGTTAACAGAATCTTTCAAAGAGCTTGCCTTTGCATCTTTGTCAAAAAATCATTGTACAGAATGATTTTTGACTCTTTTCTGTTCTTTGACCTCTTTGTCAATTATACTGTCTTGATTATTGTACCTTTAATGGTTTTTTAAATCAGTAGTGCTAACTTTCTAAGTCTGTTTTTCTATTTTAAAGTCGTGTTGGTTAATTTAAGCCCTTTACATTTCAATATAAATTTTAGAATAAGCATTTCAATTTCTACAGAGAAATCCTGCCAAGACTTTGTTGAGAGTTACGTTGATTCTATAGGTCAATGTGGGCACAACTGATCTCTGGTTATACTGAGTCTTCCAACTCATGAACCAAATATCTCCATTTAGGTATCCTTGATTTTTGCAGTTAACTGGTCTTACACATCTTTTGATAGATTCATCCCTAGGTATTTCATAATTTGTATGTTATTATAATTGGTGTTTTTAATTTCAAATTCTGGTTATTTGATGTTAGTCTATAGAAAAGGAAATTTTTATATCCATCTTGTATTTTGCATTGACAAAATCGCTTATTATCACTTGTAATTTATTTCTAGATGCCAGTGATATTCTACATTAATGATTATGGTATCTACCAATAAAGGTCGTTTTATTTCCCCTCTTTGGATGTGGATGCATTTTTCATTTTCTTGCTTGATTGCACTGACTATAACCTGTGTTATAATATAGGATAGAAAAGGTGATAATGAACATTATTATCAAACATCTCCATTGCCACCTCTCTCCTCTCTACAGGCATATTAGGATGCTTGATGTTGTTCCACACCTTCTTTTTATTTTGTAAGTTTTTTCTCTGGTTTCCTTTTGGATGGTTTCTTTTCCTGAATGTGCATTAATTAATCTCTCCTTCTGCAATGTCTATTCTATTATTAATGCATATCTCATATTACTCATACATTTAAAACATTGATTCTGATCCTTTTTATATCTTCAGTGTCTTTTATTTACCATATAAATATATGGAATACAACTATGTTTTAACATTCTTATCTTTAATTCTAATATTTGTGTCATTATGGTTGACTGATTCATTCGTTTTATGAGTTCTATTTCTCTGCTTTTTGTATGCTTGGCACTCTTTGATTGAATACCAGATATTATGAATTTTACTTTTTGGGTGCTGAATGTTTTCATATTCTTATATCCTTTAGCTTTTTTCTTGAATGTAGGTAATTTCTTTGGAAACAGCTTGATTGTTATAGGTTTTGGTTTTTAAGATTTGTTAGATGAGGCCAGAACCATGTTTAATCTGAAACTAATTACTCCCTGCAACTGAAGCAAGACCCATTTTAACACTCTACACAATCCCCCATGACTTAGGAACCTCCTCCGGGGTGGATGGTGAAAACAGGCATGAGAGATAGTTGCCAAGCACTGTTCTCTCTCATCCTTTAGCACTGTCCTTTCTATGGCTTTGGTTAGTCTCCTCACACACTTGTACTGACCCATTCTGTTGCTGAATCCTCTAGGGAACCCTTTGCAGATCTCTATGGTTCTTTCTCTGTGCAGTTTTTTTTTTTTTCCTTTCTGATACATCTAGGGTCAACATTACCCCGGAGATTCACAAAAGGAAGTCCCGTTTCATATATAACGTGTATCTCTTGTAGGCCTGGTTGATACTGGTTTAGTCTTTCAGAAATCCTTCCATTGAAGGTGATTTCTAAATTGCCTAAGCTCTCCAGGATAGCTAGCTCTGATTAAGAGATGCCACCTCATTTGTAACTAGACCAGTGTGTGCAGTGAGGTCATTGTATCTAAGCACTCATGTTTGATCACAGATGGAAACTGACCCCTTACTGCACTCCTAAATCTGTACCATGTGACCTTACAAGTCACAAGACAGGAGTGACTACTGATTTCCAATATACGCTCATATTTAAATATTTGTCTTTCATTTTTAAGCTGATGTTAACATATATATTTTTTTAATATTTTAGAAACAGGCCCTTATAGAGAAAAAAATGGCTTACCATTTACAAAAAATGCAAAAAAGTAGCTTTAAAGGAGAAGAGATGAGGAACGACACGTTTCATTATAGAGGACAAGATGGAAGATACTGTGAACGTGAGATATTAAAAGCTAATGGAGCTATGTAGAAAACGCTTATTTATATATATATTTTTTGCTTATTTATATATTGATGTAAAAATCCTTTTGTAAAATTCTGTTTGCTTACAATTGCTATCTGCTTTGTGCTAGGCACAGTTTTAGGCATTTATTATAGTTCAAGTTGAACTATAAACAGATAAAACTTTTGTGTTCTGTTGTTGTAAAAATTAAAACAAAGTAAAATAATCTTACCAAGTGGTTCAGTAGACAAGGTTGCATATACTGCAGTTCTAACCAACTTCCCTATGCTAAAATTAATGTATGTTTTGTTACTGAAACTTTAAAAACTTGTGTGTATGATGATTGCTATCATATACCAACATAGTAATGTACCGGGCTGCCAGTCAGAAAGGACAGTGCCAGAAGAAAGGGGGAGAGGGAGGAAGGAAGTTGGGGAATAAGGATGGGAGGAGGTAGAGAAGAAGGGAAAGTAAGGAAAGGAAAGAAAGGAGGAAATGAAAAAGGAGGGACATCAAGTCACGACTCTACTATGCCCAATCTCTACCAGCTTTCTTTTATTTATAACATTAGAATAAATAATGAGTTTTAGATTGAATTCATTGAAGTTATTAATTATAATTTTGTTGTTAGAATGCAAAAATGTAGACTTGCTTTAATTATCATGACTATGTAGTATCAGGAAAGAATAAGATCATCTTCCATCTCATCAATCCTCTCTCTCTCCTATCAATCCTGTTTCCAGGTGAGAGCCTCCTTGCATCACTCCAGTAGATTGCTAACTAGTCTCCATTGGCTGTTTTGCCTACCTACTTCAAATCCATTTTTCACGCTACTACTAATTACACTTTAAATCTGTTCTGAGGCTTTCTTCAGGCCCCCAAATGTAAAGATCCCCAATACCTCTTACATGAAGCTCAGACTTTTGAGGCAACCATTGACCATCACCTTTAGCCCAACTCAAATCTAACTTTTAAACTTAACTTCATACCACCTCCTTGAGGAAGGCAGCTATGATTTTGGAGTGATGTGCATAGGCTCTGGAGACAAACTGCTGAAGTCCAAGCCCTGCTTTATCATCATCTAGCCATGTAAATAGCTTGGCCAAATAACCTCTCTGAGCTACAGTTTCATCATCTGAAAACAAAAATAATACTCCTAAATTCTCATAAAGATCTCAAAAGCTCTGGCCCAACGTAAGCACTCAATTTATTTCATTGTCCAATCAAATGAGACTACCGACCATTCCTAAAACACAAGTAACTTCTCTGACTTCTGTGCCTCTCTTCATCAAGTTTTCTCAGCCTGCAGCGATGTGTTCATCATCCATCTATCCCAATCCCACAATTCCTTTAGCTCAGCTATCCAGGACATTCCACAAAGTCTTTCTTAATAGTCCTAATTGGAAGATTCTTCTCCTTTGAACCCTTTATAGTACTTTGTATCATTCTCAATACACTTATTACATACTTCCCACTGTCTTAATCACCTGTAATAGTCTAACTCCCACTTTTGTGTTCACAGAATAGTACTGTATGTATGTGAGTGTATGTGTGTGTGTGTGTGTGTGTGTGTATTTGCTAAATGGACTAATTCAATCTATTCAGCTCATTGAAATAATGACAACAGTCTCATGTTTTGGGAAAGAAACCACCTGGGTGGCCCAGTTAGTTAAGCAGCTGACTCTTGGTTTCAGCTCAGGTCATGATCTACCAGTTGTGTGATCGAACCTCGAGTCAGGCTCTGGGCTCAGTGTAGAGTCTGCCCCAGATTCGCTCACCCTCTCCCTCTGTCAAACATATAAATCTTAAAAAAAAAATAGAGAAAAGAAATCACTTTAGCAACAATATGTATCCCTACATCTTCAACTGTTAACTTTCCCATTTACTAGGAAGAGAGGTTCAACTAGACATTTTAGACATTGGTTACCTTAAAACCCCTCTTTTGAAGATGTTAATGAATTTATGTTAAGGTGACAAGACTATCTACTTTGCAAATGAAATTGAATTACCATTCTGAGTAACATTGTCATCTTCCACTAAGTAGACAGTTTCCAGAGGGACAGAAAACAAGAGAGGAAGGGAATACGAGGTGAATTTGCTTCAGTGGGGAGACAGATCACTCTCACATCTTACATCTCTAGTGAAAACCCATTGAGTGCACTTGATGTGAGGAGACTTTTCCTTCCTTAAACAGTCAGAAACAGGAACTACAACTGTGTCTATCACAAAGGAGGAATATGCATACAGTTGCTTGTGCCAGGCTGGGGGGCACATCCAGGAAGTGCAACACTCACTGGGGGCTGACGGGTTTCCAGCCAGTAGCTACCTTGGTTGGTATGCATCTCCACAGATGGGAAATGACATGGTACAGGGGTCTTCATGTAGCTTTTCTCTCCACCAGAAGAAAATTCCGTCCTTCCAAGTGTATCTTTTAACCCAAAGTGATAATATTTCAAGAGTGTCTTCCCATATCATATCTCTCTGGCTCCTCTAATACCACACCCCATCTCACATACAAATTAGCATAAGGCTCACTTCTTCTTGAGGATGAAAAAAAAATAGTCTATCTTGAGAATTCATCATCACTATCATTAAAAATAAATATCTTATTACATTTCTTTAAGCGTATTCTCTAAAGAAGAAAAAGAAGATTTATGACAACATGAACTTAGTTTACCCTGTTGGTGACCAGAGAGCAAATAAAGGAGTAAATGGTAATTGAATATTTTGATAAGAAATACTAAGTAGTAATTTGGGGAAAGACTGAGTTTGGATAGCACTGTTTGCTTAGATGCTTTAAATGCTTAAATCTGTTTTCTGTTGTCAAGTGACTGAGGAAGAGTGATCCCTACCAACAATGACACAACCTCTATGGGTTTCAGAATTTGATCTCTATACTGATTTAGTGTTCTAACCCTAACATTATGTCCTCGTTTTAGAAAAATCAAATGTAGAGTCTACTGTTGTTAAGTAAGTGGGATACACACACACACACACACACACACACACACCTAACAAACTGCAAAATAGTCTTAATAATGTTCAAAATGATTTTAGAAAACTCTGAAATAGGTCAGAAATGAACTCCAAAGCCACTGTGAACTCTACTCATACTATATTACTTGATGTTGTCTCTTACAGCTCACTGGACTAAACCAGGAACCCAAATGACAGCATAAAACTCCTCCAAATAATACACTATCAAAAGTGTGAGATTATTCAAAATTGAACAATCTGAATTATCAAATTTCCAGGGAAAAAGTAAAGCGTGAAGAGTTAAAATTCCTTTGGCTTCATCAGTTCAAATAAAAAAAAAAAAAAGCACAAAATCTTTCCTCCCTGATAATGTGATTTGATTAGTCTTAATCAAAAATTAGAAACCTGGGGAGCCACAAGGGTGCCTTAGTGGAGGCTGTCTTCCACTCTTAGGACCATGAGGTAGACTTAATTCAACTCTAAGCTTCATGGGTCCTATTTTTAAAGTTTAAAGACTTTTTTTTTTTGGCACCAAAGTTATTATTACCATGTACAAAATTAGTACAACACCAGCCCCACCTCTACTAAGTATAGACAATATAAACTTACTTTCCATCAATGAACCCTGAGTATGAACTCTGTAGAGTATCACAGCTTTTATATAGTTCTATGGCCAATTTGCCCTGTGTTTTGTGGTTGGTAGCTCCCCAATCAGAGTTGTGGGCCCTGAACTCTATTCCTTGCTTCTGATCTTGTGTCTGTATTTTCTTATTTCCTCCAAAAAAGTCCTGACATGTTTACCTTGATTTTAAATCACCTCAGGCAAAATGGAATTTTTTTTTTTGTATAATTGCATCCAATCACATGTGGATTTGTGTGATCTCTACCACAGTCACACAGGATTCATACAATCACACCATTCCAAAACTTTCCTTTTGCTGTCATACCTTGCTCCCTCCCATTACTAACCCTAGGTAACCACTGATCATTCTTCATCACTATAGTGCTTTTTCCTTTAGAGCATGTCTTATAAATAGAATCCTATAGTATTTGACGTTGTGATAATGTCTTCTTTCACTCGGCGTTCAGAATTTATTCAAGTTATTGCATGTACTGATCATTTACTACTATTGCTGAGTAGTATTCGATAGTATATATGCACCAGAATTTTTGTGTACATTCATCAGTTGAAGGACATTTCAGTTGTTTCCAGGTGTGGTGATTATAAATAGAAAAAAATCAGAAGTATTTACAAGTCAGATTTTTGTGTAAACAAGGGATCGTGGAGTCAGATGGTGAACGTATGCTTAAATTTATGAAGAGCTACCCAACTGCTTTCCCGAATGCCTACACTGTTTTGCATTCCTATCAGTAACGTAGGAGAGATCCATTTGCTATGCAGTCTTGCAACCATTAGTATTATCAGCAATTTTTTAATTTTAGTCGCTCTAGTAGATGTAATGGTGACTCATCCTGATTTCCGTTTCCATTTCCTTAATGGCTAATGATGTTAATATCTTTTCCTATGCTGTTTGCCTTTTGTAAATCCTGCTCAGTTCAGTTATACATTGAGGGGTTTTTTGCTCATCCTTTATCGGGTAGTTTTCTTACTGTCAAGTTTAAGGAGTTACTTATATATTCTGAATACAAGTATTTTCCAGATCGCAGTTTGAAAATATTCTCTTTCTGTCTGACTTACCATTTCATTTTCTGTTCCAGTCATCAATTAATGTGTCTATCTCTTTGCCAGCATTGCCCCATCTTAATTATTGCAGCTTTTCACTCTCTTAAAATCAGGTAATATAATTCTACTACCTTTATTTTTTCCCTCAAAATTTAAGGATTTTTAATTCATTTGACTTTTGCATATAAATTTTGTGATCAGCTTGTCTGCAAAAATTATGCTGGGATTTTTTTTAATGAAGTACATTAAAACAATCTATAGATCATTTTGAGGAAAAAAGAAATCTTTACAGATCTTGGTCCTCCGATTCATGAACATAGTATCTCTATTTCTGTTTGTTTGGGTTATACTTGATTTCTGTCCCAAGTGTTTATATAGTTTTCAGCATAGAGATCTTGTATGTGTTGTGTTATATATAAGTACTTCATTTTTTGGTACTATTATACATGACATTCTTAAAATTTGTTTTTCAATTGTCTATGACTTTTTTTTAAAGATTTACTCATTTATTTTAGAGAGAGAGGGTACTCAAGATAGAGGAGGGGCAGAGGGAGTGGGACAGAGAGAAACCCCAAGCTGACTCCCTAATAAGTTGAATGTGGAGCTTGATCTCATGACACTGAGATCATAATCTGAGCTGAAATCAAGAGTAGGATGCTCAACTGACTGAGCCACCCAAGTAATCCTGTCCATGACTATGCTTCCTTTGTACAGATTTCTTTTTCCCAGTGGCTGTTCCAGATAACAGTGTACTTAGCTTTTCACAATGAACTATGAATAAATATTTAACCCTTTAAGTGGAATATGGAAACCTTAGCACTATATATGACCCCTTATCCCCCTTCCCTTTGTTATAGTTGTTCTATGTATTACATCTATTCATCAAACATCCACTCCAACAATGTAATAAGTTTTATTTTAAATAAGTAGAAGACTAGCTTATTATAGAACTCAGATAGTTACCATTTCAAATGCCCTTTAATTTCTGATATCCCAGGTTTCTCTCCCATATCATTTTTTTCAATCTATAGACCTTCCTTTTAGCATCTTTTTAGAATAGATTCTCTGGCACTGAATCATCTTAATTTCCATTTTTATCTAAGAGTATCTTTATTTTACCTTTCTCCTTGAATGATAATGTTTTCATTTGATATAGAATTGTGTAAGTTGACATTTTTTTTCCAGAACTTGAAAACTGTTACTTTATTTTATTGTATTTCCTGGTGCTGATGAGATATCAGCCGTAATCGAGTTGTTGATGCTCTATAAGTAAGGTGACATTTTTCTCTGGTTGTTAAGATGTTGGGGGGTGCAAAATAGTTGTTAGCAACTTGATTCTGATACATTTTGATATGGATTTTTTTTCTCCCTCCATTTTCCCTGACTTTCCTTAAGCTGTAAGTTCATAGCTTCTGCCAAATTTCTTTTAAGCAGGCTTCCTTCTCCCACAGAAAGAAACACTATTTAAATCTGGTGATTGCTATAACCATCATTTTTTCAATATACTTACAATGTGAATGTATATCCTTAAACTACACACATATATAAACGCAGATACCATTAAACTATTTTAATGTGACTTATATGCTGTTCTTCCCAGTCTTAGGTGACTTGCTTTTTACACTCGGCATTATATTTCAGAAGTTTTATCTCTGGGCTGCCTGACATTTTATTTCATTTCACTACTGATCCTATCCCATTGTGTGAATATACCACAATTTACACATACATCTGTTTTCCTATTGATGCAAGTATCTGTTATTTGAACAATATTGCACTGAACATTCATATATGTATGCTCATATATATATTATATATATATGAATACTCATATATATTTATAAAATCTCCTCATACTCATAGACAAGAGATTCTCCAGGGGTTGTATGTCTAGATACACGAGTTCTGGGTCATGTTTCCTCTACTAAGAAGTTATCTTTTCAAATCTCTTGTCCATTTTTCCTACTGGGTTTTCTTTTTTCCTATGGATTTGGAAGATATTTAAAGCTATATTAGACATTTGTCTATTATATACATAAATATAGTATAATAAATAACTTCTAACTTGTGATTTTTTTCTGTTCTTTCTTTTTATCTTTTGATGATGGAAATTCTTAATTCAATATGGCTGATGTTAATTTTTTGTCTTATTTGGAGCACATATTTCCAGTGTTGTTAATTATTTTTTTAGCTTTTCTTATGGAACATTTTGAACATAAATAAAAACCAACAGTTCCTGGTTTTTAACATGCCTATCATTCAAGTTGGACATCCAATTGTGAATAATTTTGTCAATGCCCTCAACCTTTCTCTGCTGCCTTGTTGTTCCAAAGCTCATCCCATCAAGATGTAAATAGTAACTAAAGGATATTTTAAATGAGTAACAACAATACCATTATCACATGGCACAAACAATTCTTTAGCATAACAAAATATTTAATCACTCACCCCCAACCCTCCCCTCCCTGGCAACGATTAATCTGTTCTCTGCATCCGTGAGTTTGGTTTGGGCTTGTTTTATTTTTTAGATTCCACACATGAAGTGAAATCATATAGTGTTTGTCTTTCTCTGACTTGTTTCACTTGTTTCACCCTTTTCTACACATAAAATCATGTTATTCACAAATAGTGACAATTTTACATCTTTTCCAATTTTGATGCCTTTTGTTTCTCTTTTTTGCCTAATCAGGGTTCCCAGCATCTCCCTTAAGCAACCCATAAGTTTTTTTAATCTATCTTTTAAAAATCCTTTTTTTTTTTTTTTTTTTTTTTTTGCTGCTCTGGGTGAGTGGTGCTGCCCTGTATTCTAGATCATCCCTAGCCCTTTCTTCTGGTTCATCCAGTCTGCTGTGAACCCCTCAAGTGTCTTCTTCAGTTCAGTTATTGTATTCTTCAGCTCTATGGCTTATGTTTGGTACTTTCTTATATTTTCCCTCTCTTTGTTGATCCTTCTGTGTTCATCCATCTTTCTGTCAAGATCCATGAGCATCTTTATGACTATTACTTTGGCCTCTTTATCAGATAAATTACTTATGTCTGTTTCATTAAAGGTTTTGTTTTTGGAGGCTTTTCTTGTTCTTTCGTTTGGAACACATTTCCTCATTTCCTCATTTTGCTTGATTCTCTGCTTCTATGTTTGAGGCAAAACAGCTCTCCCAGTCTTACGGGCATGGTCACAAGAAGATTGGGGGTGTGTTTCATCTGTTATCTGTGCAGCATCCCACCAAGAACTGTCTCTCTGACTGTTTCAGTCCCAGGGGCCCCAAAATGCAGGACCCCTTGGCCTCTGGAGACAGGCATTCAAAGGGTGTCTCCTGTGAACGGTGCATACTGCTAGCTTTGGCAGGGCCACAGGGTGGCATGGGGGCAGGCAAGCCAAACCACTGGCTTTAGTGGGGCAGGGCCACCGGAGTGGCACTAGCAGGGTAAAGAGACTACAAAAATGGTATCTGGCATTACCAGCACTTAGCAATGTCGGAGAGTGTAAAATGGCAGTAACCAGCACCTCATTCCCTGGAGAGAATTGGAACAGACCTCTGCCCTTCCAGCAGGTGCCGTAAGAATAGCCGGGGGGAACTCCTTCCTGTATGGTCTAAGTGCTCTTCAGCCTGCTGCTTTTGTGCTGGGTCCCAAGGTAAGCAGTCTGTGCACAAGCCCTTTAAGAACAGAGTCTCAAGTTCCTAATGTTCTTTGAATCTCCTGGACATATGCCATGTTAATTTTTAAAGCCAATCACCATACATTTTTTTATAATGTTCATTATTTTTAGTACTATCTATAGACTTCTCTTGTGCTGTTACCTCTAATTTTCCTGATGCTCCTCTATCTAGTGCAGGTCCCAAGGGTTAGTAGGGAGCTCAGACTCAGGGATGTGCTCCATATTTGTGAAATCTCTCTCACCTGTGGGTTGCTGCACTGGAGTAGGGGATGGGGGGTGTCGGGTGGAGCATGCCTCTGCCTCTCCTCCCAACCCATGTGTGGCCTTTTATCTTTTGTTGTGGAGGAACTGTTGGGCTAGCTTTCGCTAGCTTTCAGGTCTTCTTCAGAAAGAGTTGTTCTAGATGTAGCTGGAGATTTCCTGTGTCCAGGGAGGAGATGAAATTGGGGTCTTCTTATGCTGCCATTTTGCAGGTTCAATTTCTCCGACAATACTGATTCCTAGATGGTGGTGAGTCCTTCCATCAGGAGGCGTAGAACATCTCCTTTTTCTCTTTGTAATGTTAGCAGCCATTTATGTTCAAGGCCTAGATCCAGGAATTAATTAGGGATTGCAAAACTGGGATATTTTAATTCTGTCATTCGTTCTTCATACATTAACTGGAATACTTGTATAAAATAAACTTCATTTTAACTACTCTTTGGTTAGGTGTAGTACAGGATAGTTGAGAAAAGCAAATTGATGCTTAATATTTTACCATCATTTATCAGTTTTCAGAGTAGTAAATTGTTTCAGTAGCATCCTCCAACAATGAGCAATTAGCTTTGTTTTATGTCAGTATGAATTTACAGATTTAAATAAATTCAGTGTGCCTCAATATAATTCTGTTATTGTATTAATGCTGAAATTGTGATAGCTTTAGCCAGTGGGATCTCCCTTTAGGATGATGACTCTTGAGCCCTTTGTAACATAACTCTGATGATTTTTGATAGCTTCCTTGCTGTCTGGAAGACAAGATTATTCAAGCTTATCTTGTATACGTTCAATTGCTTCAACATCATTCAGTTTCACTGGCATTTTTGTAAAGATAAAGTGAACATTTATAGATGATAAGTAGATAGACCTACTGGTGGGCAGTCTCCTGTTTTATTTATCTATTTGTTCTTATATGAATACAGTGTTCTCTGCATCTTTGGGATGATCATCTCATTTTTTTTTTGTCTTTTAATGTTGTTAATCATTTTGACTTATTTTTAATGTTAAATGTTAAACCAGTCCTGCATTCTCAGGATTAACCTTACTCATTCATTATGCACTATCTTTATCATATATTGTTAAATTCAATTTATTTTATTTATAATTTTTGCATTTTTGTTCATGGGGGGATGTTGACTGAGGTTTTCTTTTCTTGTAATGTCTTTTAATGATCGTACTATCAGAGTGATCTTGATGTCAAAGTATAACTTGGGATAAGAGTTCATTCCTCTTCAATTTTCTGGGAGAGTCTGTGTGGAATTTGTGTGGTTTCTTCCTTACATATTTGGTATATAACAGAGAAATTAAATCATCTGAGCCTGGAGTTTTCTTTCTGGACATTTTTTTAAAGAACACATTCAATTTCTTTAATAGATATGTAGTTCTTTATATCATCTATTTATTCAGGAATGAGATTAATTTGTGTTTCTCAAGAAATTTGTCCTTTGTATGTAAATTTTTAAACTTACTGCCATACATTTTTTATAATATTCATTATTATTTTTAGTACTATCTATAGACGTTTGTTGTGCTATTATCTCTAATTTTCTTGATGCTGAAAACTTGTATCCTCTCTTTTTTCCTGGTCAATCTGGATATCACTTATTTTGAACTTTTCAAAAAGTCAGCTGTTAGTTTCATTATTTTGTCTCTTTTTTATTTTTCTTTGATCTTTACTATTTTATTTATTTGCTTACTATATGTTGACAATGATGCGTAAGAATTGAAACTCTAATGCATTGCCAAATGGTGTGCAAAAGGTATAGCCATTTTGGAAAACAAAAGTTACACATACAATATGATCCAGTCATTCCACTACTAGATATTTACCCAACAGAAATGAAGACACATGTCCACACATGACTTGTACATGAAAGCTCATAAATATCTATTGTGAGAGGCCAAAATGGAAACAACCCAAACAAGAGGTAAATAGATAAAAAATTGTGATGTATCCATATAATAAAACACTTCTCAGTGGATGAAAAAAAATAAAGGTATTAGAAAAGTTATTTTGATTGCAGTGATAGTTCCACAGTTGTAGATATATTTTAAAATTGAAGAAAACATTCAATTTAAATTAGTTTATTGTATTTCAATTACACTTCAGTAGGTTGTTTAAAAAAAAAAAAACACTATGGTGTTTCTCTCTCACTTTTAGGACCTACAGCGAATGTCATTTATCAATGTCTAAGTACTTCAAAGAGTGTTAACAAAAAAACATCAAATCCAGCTGGTCTGTCAGATGTACAAGTTAATGGTACTGGACAAAAGGTATAAAATTCTATCTCCAACTTTTGTATGGTGATTTTCTAGTTAATTTTTCACTTCCATGACCTATCTTCTTCACTAGCACGATACAGACTAAGGATATTAGGATCTATTCATGAGGCCAGATCTTTCCTTTAGAATATTGAGTCACTTTGTGATATAGCAGAAACTAATCCAAACATTTAGCAATTGCAATAATAAGAGCTACAATTTGTTGAACATCTACTGTTGGCCAAGCCCTGTGCTAAACCAGAAAGAAGGGGAAATAAGGAAATTGTGACATATAAGATAAAAAGATGAATAAAACATAATCACTCCACTTGAGGATCCATTGCCTGATGAGACAGACAGACGCAGAAAAATGTCATCACAATGAAATGATTTTGGAAAAATGTTTGCTAAACTGTAGGCTGGATTGGAATGGGTTATATTTTATTTCCCTGAAACAGACTGAATGACTCTAACTTTTTAGAACCAACTATTGAATGGATTACTATACCTTTAAACAAAATATGGAATACTAGGAAAGGAACAACTTGTACATTGTTATATAATGAACTCAATTTTAAACTAGTTAAGTTTGAGATCCCTATATAAGATCTTCTAGAAGGAGACAATTTGCATGTAAAAGATAAGGGGATAAATGGGGGGGATTTTTATAAATTTGGTTGATTGATAGAGGCAAAATTTCCCTTAGAAGTAGTTACTAATGAATGTTTTTCTCTTTAATGTACCATATAGAAAGAGAAAATAACTAGAAAATCAAGTAATTTTGATGATAGAGGTAAGAAAGTAGAAAACAATCATACTTGTTATTTTATTAAATTCATAATCATAGTCTTATCATGTAGCTTTTCAAGTTGTTTTACATGATTATAAAAACCATAATTCTATACAATGCTTTACTTTCCAAAATAATTTATGAACACAGATATTATAATTGGGTTATATATTTTAGTGATTGCTTGTTGAGTATGACTTTTGAATTTTGTAATCTGTGGAAAAATTAGGGTCCATGCTGGGGCTGTTTATACTGCTAGACCATATTACTGACTTACTGGAATTCAGAAAGTTCCAGGACAGAGAACCATCTCCAGAAAGGTCCTCACACTGCCATCAATTCTCCATAGAAATACATCTTATTTCCCATCTCCTCTTCAGTGCACTACACATTGGCTAAATTTTTCTGTGCCTTGTGAGACTCCTGAAAGTCACTAAAAATACTTCCGTGCATATCCTACGTATACATACAGAAGATATTAGACACCCCCATCCAGTGGCCAATGATCACCTCAAATTCAAAAGAATATCAAACTCATCATCTTCCTGGTCCTCTTTGTGTTTTCACCCAGGCACAAAATATGAATTATCTTTGACTCTTCTTTTTTGTATTTGAATCCCAAAGTTGCCACTTTCTGTCTAATTTACCTTAATTTCTTTTGCTCTTTCCTATTTTTTCATTCCCACAGCTTCTACCCTTGTTTCTTTCATCCTTGACTATTTGAGTGACCTTCCTCCATTCTACTCCTCCTCTTTTTAATGCACCATAAATTTTACTGTGAAAGCAATCTTCCCAAAACACAGCTTTGGTTATTCCCCTGTCCAAGTAGTGGGTGGTTTACCACTGCAGACTGAGTGAAATGAAAACCACTAATCCTGGGAGTAGTCCATGTTTCATTATAGGGATTAAGTGGCCTAATAGTAAATAAATTAGGATCAGAGGTCACGGATTTCAGACATGTCTCTGAAGGCTAGAGTGAACCATTGGAAATTTGTAGTTAGTGAACATTTAAAACGGTTATTCTGGGGATCCCTGGGTGGCGCAGCGGTTTGGCGCCTGCCTTTGGCCCAGGGCGCGATCCTGGAGACCCGGGATCGAATCCCACGTCGGGCTCCTGGTGCTCCCGGTGCATGGAGCCTGCTTCTCCCTCTGCCTGTGTCTCTGCCTCTCTCTCTCTCTCTCTGTGACTATCATAAATAAATAAATAAATCTTTAAAAAAAATAAAAATAAAATAAAACGGTTATTCTTGGAGATACTTCTAAGTCAAATATACCCCTAATTGTGGTAATTCAGTGATTGCGGCAGCTCAGCCGAGAGAGCACTAGATTAAATCTATTCATTAGCATTCACCCTTGTTCCAGAAATATGATCTTCTCATATGTAAAGTTATCTCTTCTTTCTCTAGGAAATGTACACATCTCAGCTCAAAATTCAGTTGTTTCACCTCAAACTTCCCCCACAAGAAATTGTCCAAAATCTTCACCGTCTTACTTGGATCCTCCAAAAGATGAGGTATGTAATATTTCTCTTGCTCTAAATGCAAGTAGAGTAAATGAAATACGGTCTTATGATCAGCATTGGTATAAAACCTTTCGTCATGAAGTGACCATACCAACCACTTCACTCCCTGAAATTAGCCATACCATAACAAAATTTTAATAGCCCTAGGATAATCTTCCTAAATATAAGCTACAACATTAGCGCTCACAGTCCCACATACCCACAGCCCTCAGAGGAAGTATTAATTTGGCCTTTGATTGGGCTTTGACTAGTACTGATGAATTGTTCAGAGATAGCCATGCTACCTGTCCTCTTTTTGCCATCAGTCACCTGCTATTGGAAAGTTCCTAGCAAAGATTCAAAGATTGTGATATAAATGAGAATTTTTTTCTCTGTGAGTTGCCTACTTTGTGACAGGAGTCAAAAACCACATCATTGCATTCCATTAGTAGCACAGCATGAATTGGTCTAACTATGCTACAGAGTTCACGTGATTTGAAAATGGCAATTTGCTAAGTTCTTTCCAAATGAATTCTACTTGAATAGGGTAGGAAGTGGCATCATTTTCTGTTTCTTCTAATGCACGATAATTGACAGACTATGTTATGCATAACTTCTAAGACGTATGTTTACCACAACATGCTTGTCTGTCACGCAGACAATATTGTAAACATTTTACAGGTCAGTGTTCTACTACATCGATATCCATTTTATGTAGGCTAAGAGTCAATAAAAGAAATTTCTTAAACTTCAACATTTAAAATCCTCGTATTGCCCAACAGATTGCAAAAGCTATGTCCTTTACTAAACAAACAAACCTCTTGTAAAAACAGTATCTAAATTTTATTACTGACCTTTTATGGTTAATACGTTCGCCACCCATGTGGATCTCAAGTGAATACCAAATGTCCACCAAGTCCTAATTTATTATGAGAAACAGCATGGCCATTTTTTAAAATTTTTTAAACAAATTTAATTTTTATTGGTGTTCAATTTACCAACATACAGAATAACACCCAGTGCTCATCCCGTCAAGTGCCGCCCACAGTGCTCATCACCCATTCACCCCTACCCCCAGCCCTCCTCCCCTTCCACCACCCCTAGTTCGTTTCCCAGAGTTAGGAGTCTTTATGTTCTGTCTCCCTTTCTGATATTTCCCACACATTTCTTATGCTAAGTATTAACACTCTGCTTCCGACATGTTGTGTACAGCCTATCACCGTCGGAAAATGTATTTCTAGGGGCCTATGTTCAGCTCTCAGATCTGAGGGAAAAAAAAAATAATAAGTCTATTTCATGGATTTACCTCCCTCAGCAGGTTGAGTTCCGGAACAAGTCTAGAGAACCACACGTCTTCCCTGCTCCAGCTCTACTCAAACCTTTCTCCTATTGTAGCTTTGTTAAAAAATAATAATAATAATAATGCATCCATTCTTTTGTCCATTGAGTTGATGAACTTACTAATCAGTGCATTCTACAGAAAGTTAATTTTAGGATGCCAGTGAGTACTGCTGTGTAGGAAAGAGTTAATGTAGCAGGCTTGAGACTGCTGTCTTTAGAAGGGCCTGCTTTCAAGGTTGCCCTTGTCTAGTGTATGGGACGTTAGCTTTTCTAACAGTCCCCAAGTGATATGGAACGTTCCCTCACTGAATAGATGGTGCACTATATTGCAAATACTGTGATTTTTGCTGAGCATCTGATTTCTTTTTAGAAGGCTGGAATCTTGATAGGCACTAAGGCAGAGGGTGTCCTCATGACCAGCCTTCCATAAAAACTTTGAGTGCTGAGTTTCTAATAGATTTCTCTGGACATAAACATTGTACATGCTACTGTATATATTTTTTTTCTTAAAGATTTATTTATTCATTTATGATAGACATAGAGAGAGAGAGAGAGAGAGAGAGAGAGAGAGGCAGAGACAAGGAGGAGGGAGAAGCAGGTTCCATGCCAGGAGCCCGACGTGGGATTTGATCCCAGGATTCCAGGATCGCGCCCTGGGCCAAAGACAGGCGCCAAACCGCTGAGCCACCCAGGGATCCCCTACTGTAAATATTTTTTTCAACTGCTAGAGAAAAGAGCATACTCATGTGTTCTCTCAAGTAGGGAATGTATATAAGAAAAACTGTGCATAGATTTTTCCAGACTCAGCCTGTGTCTTTTTTCCCCTTCTTTATCCTATAGTGTATCCTTTTACTGTAATAAATCTTAGATGTGAGTACAACTATATTCTAAGTCCTATGAGCCTAAGCAAATCACCAAATGTGTGGGCGGTCTTATGGACCTCCCATGATACAACAGTGAACTTTTAAATACTGTAAATAAATATAACATAAACATCACAAAATGTGTGCATTTTAAAAAAAACTGACATTTTAGAAGAGTTCTCAAAATTTTAAGTTTCTATATTTTAAATATAGAATAATTGTTGATGTTCAAATCCTGGGGAGAAAAATCCTTTGAGGATGTTTGTTTCTTGTTTGGATTATGCAGAAGGGGATAACTGCTGACTGTAATGGAAGATTAAACAAGAGCTCAAGCTACCTCTGTGAATCAGGTAAACATCAATAATAGCTATTGAGTAAGTTATGTAATCTCTTAATTCAGTTTTTCAACTAACATTTATTGAGCTCCTGCTTCATGCCTGGTATGGTGCTAAATAATCTTTGAAGGTTTGATACAAATCACCGGCAAAATATTTAACCTGGTCCTGGTTCTCTTAGTGAGAAAAAAATTTAAACCGTAGATCTAATTAGATGTGAAACTACATATTTTGTTTCTTTTTGTTTTCACAATTTACACTTTTCTTGTAAATTTACTCATCTGAATTTTCCAATTTCCAGGCATAAAATTATCGTATATCCTATGCATGTGGGTCAGATTATTGGAAGGCAGTACAGCATAATGAGTAGGAACATATATTCTGACACAAGTACTTAAGTTGAATCCACACACCAAAACTAAAAATTTACGTCTGGCCAAGTTATTTAATTTTCCGTTCTTTGTTTTTTTTCCACCTATAAAATGAGAATGTCATGCAACCCAAATTCACCGCCCATCACTGGAAAGGCCAATAATGAAAAGAAGAGTTTTGATAAGGAAGGTACTTAATTGTTTTGTGGACTGACAACATAGCCTTTATCATAGCAGATTTTTGAAATATCTACAAAATTCCTTTATTGGCTTAGCACACATGATTAATTTATTATATGTTCTGATTGATTTATTATATGTTTGTGTGGTTGAAAGCAATAAATATTACCAATTTGGTGGTTCCATGTTCTAAATATTTCCATTCAATCAAGATGTTGAATTGTGTTGTTCAAATGTTCAATATATTTACTTTTATTTACTTTGTTCTGATACTACTATAGCTACATCAGCTTTCAGTCTTGAATCTTTTTATGTATAGATGTGGCTTTTGTAAACACTCTACTCCTGCATTTTGTTTTATTTTTATTGTGTATTGGAAATTTACTTTTAACTGAATTTAAGCTATTTACAGTTATGTTAATTAAACCATTAGATTTTTACTGCCTTATTGGTGCTTTTGCTTTGTCATGATTTTTCATATTTTGCTTTAATTTCTCCTTTCTTGCTTTATTTCAGAATATTAAACTTATTTTTAATCCATTTTTATCTCTACTGTTTTAGAAACTGTATGCTATGTATATTCCTTTTGACAATTATCCGAATTCTGGAATGTAGAAAGTAAAAGTCAAAGTTAAAATAATTAACCTCTAAACCACCATCTCATATCATATTTAACCAATAATTTAGTTTTTATTATTTTTTACCAGCTAAATATTGTTCTGATTTTTGAACAGTCAGGTTTTGTTTATATTTGTACATGTTTACCAATAGTTTTTTGTTCACCATTCCTTTTTGCATTTCATACTTTATAGACTCACCTTCATTCTTCCCTAAGTAAATCCATTCTTTAGAAATGTCATCAGTGAATGTGTTTTGGGAATAAATCGTCAGATTTTATTTGATAAAGCTCTCTTTATTTTACCATGTTCTAGGACATAATTATGGCTGGGTATATAAGTTCTTAAGGGCAGTTATTTTTTTCTTGGTACTTTAAAGACATTGCTCTACTTAAATGTTTTACTTTTTCTCTAATAATCCCTGTGTGAGTGATTCTCCCTCTCCCCTACCCACACACACTTCAGTCTGCTTTTAAGGTCTTACTTTTGCTTTTCTGCAGTATTACTATGATGAACAGTTCTGGACAAGTTTCAGCTATTTTTCTCTCCTGTATTGCCTCTCCTCACTTTCTTTATTATCTTCTTCTAAAATTCCAGTTATGTATATGTTAGACCTCTGTTTTTTCTTCTACATCCTTTAACAACTAGATTTTCCATTTCTCTGCTGCATTCTGGTTAATTTCTTCAAATTTGTCCTTCAAATCACCAAATCTTTCTTTAGTTTATCTAATCTACTATTTTATCAATTCAATGCATTCTGAAATTTTTCTGATTATATATATGCATATATATATACACACACACATATATATATAATTTCTGAAGTTATTTTTCAAATTTTACTAGATTTTTTGACAAGTTCTTGTCCCATTCTTGTGTTCTCCAATCCCTTCTTTATATATTTAAATATATAAATGCACTTGTAAGATATTCCTTATTTGGTAATTCAAATATATAATATCATTGATGCCTAATTCTAATTTTGTTTTGTTTTGTTTTGCTGCTAACAGTCATGGGGATTTGTTTCTTCATATTTGTCTTCGTGTGTGTGTGTAAGGGGCATCATTGTTTTATGTGAGCTCATTTTTGATAGAAATGTATCCTTGGGAATTCTATGTTTGTATAGTATATATTGCTCTATAGAACTCAAATTCAACACATTAAATATGTATGGTTTTTTGAATATCAATTATACCTCAATACACCAGTTTTAAAAATTTCCATATGCTTCTGCTAGGCATCTGGAAGAAGTATAAATACAGGTTCATTTTAAATTCTCACTTAGAGTTTTATGACCATATAGTAGATTTGAACCTCAAAGTCATATAGGAATTCATAATCACAGAATAGCTCTTAAGAGATATTTTTATTTTTTCCTCTTCTTCCTCTATCCACAGCTGAAGCCAAGACATAGTTTTGTGTGCTGCTACCTCTGTGGCATGAGTTTTTTTTTTTTTAATTCTTCAATGAAAGTTATAGCTCTCCGGCATCCAGTATGTTTTTAGAGGCTCTTACTTAGTTTTGATTCTCCATTTTGTTTGCAGGTATTGCCAATGTTCATAGACCAAGCATCAGCTTCAAAATTTGCTTACCACTCTAGATTTGTGTTACTCCAGACTTTTTACTGTCAAGGATTTTTTTTTATTGTGTTTCAAAGCTTAGCTGTTTTTAAAAGGATAGTTTTAATATTTTATATATAATTCTAAGCAAATTTTTCAAATATCTACTCCAGCATACTAATGGAAACAGAAAACTTTTTGTATTTTATTTTGTTTTTAGAATAGTATTGTCTTCACACTTAATAAGCCCGAGATCCGTGCTCTCCTAATTCCAGTTACTTCTACCAAACTGAACACACACAAAAAAAATATCTACAAAAACAAATTCTAAAAGGTTCACACAATTTAAGTAAGACTTTTTATACACATCGCTAGAACCTACTGGTTACTCATTTACTGGAAGAAACGAGTTACTATCTAAACTTGACTTTGAACTGGTTCTAATCACTAATACTACTTTCTGAAATTAGGACAATCTTTTTGTTTAAAACTTTTATTCATGTCCATTTTTGCATGATTGACACACACCAATTCAGTATGCCTGTAGAGATGTACAGAAAGACTTCCTATTTCACTTCAATCCAGAGTATTTAACAAAACTCAGTAATAGAACCTTGCTGGATTATATACAAAGCAAGTTAGGTAATACTCAAGTAGGAGAAGATTAATGGCAGACAAATCAATAAATAAATGTTGGTGAACATGTTAAATAATGGATTCAACAAACAAATGTTAGTGAATACTTACTGTGTTATGTGCTGAGGATACAGTGGTAAATTTGTGGCATAGGAAGACAGAAGAGTAAACATTTAATCATGTTATAACGTAATGAGTTTTGTAATAGAACTATGTGTGTAATACTTCAGGCTCACTACAGAAGGATATTTATTTACTTTGGCAAAGGTTTCTAGTGGAATTAACACAAACTGAAGCCTAAAAGACGAGTGGTTAAAAAAGAAGTCATAGGGTGCTCCAAACAAAGGGAATGGCAAAAACAAAGGCCCAGACACATGGAAAATATGACATGTTCAGCAAATTATGTCATTCTGGGTCTCTGAACCATAGAATATATATGAATATATAGAGACCAGCCAGAGTAGATACTGCAGAGGTAAGTGAGAACATCAGATTGTATAGTATATTTTATGCCTTCCTAAGGAATTTGGACTTCATTGTGGAGAATCTCTGGAGGCTTTTAAACAAGATGCAGTACCAAAGAATAAAGATCTACTAGAGGATATTAATTTCCATTTTACAAGTTGCTGGGGGGAAGAATACAAACTAATTACAATTTTCTTTTTCTAATAAATAGGACCTCCAGTTCATGCCTCAGCTCAGGGTACTTTCCCTTCCCGTGTTTTCTCAAATACGTAAGTATCTAAGAAAATTAATGTGTAATTATAAATTAATACTTTAATAATTACATGAGTGCTAATCAAAAGCAAATGATTACATGGACTCCTCTAGTAGTTCTACTTGGATTTAGTGAAACTTCTGTCTTTTGCAAACTCTCAGCACTAAGCTTAAATTGTAAAGCAGACAAAGGGAATGTTTTTTGTCTTCCTTCTCTGTCTCCTTATCCCCACTGTGTTTCTACACTTCCCCCTTCACTTCAGAGTCTTCATACCACATTCAAGTATATCCTACCATAATCCCTCCTCTTCAAGAAATTTCTAAGTTTTGGACCTTGTTACTTTGTTCTTATCTCCTTCGAAATATTTACCATTTCTTAGGCCGTTTGCGATTATTGGCTTCCCAAGGATGGTATGTTAGGTTACTACAAATATTAATGGCTTCACCAATTATTCTTGTCCTAAAGGGTGTCATGTTTACAGTAAAATCCCAAATAATGACCTCTGATGATGGAAATTGCAAGTCTCTGGAGAAGAAATTTGGGGGTCCTGATGGATTTTCATTCCTCAAAACTCAATAGCCCCTATTTTATTGGTGGTTATAAATGGTTTTTCCAACTCTAGGGAAAAAACTATTTTAGACCCAATATCATCACTTTCTAAAAAGGTAATTTTAAAAATAATGTCCAGGATATACTTTGGAAACCCCAAATCTCTAACAATATAGTAGAGCAACGTTAAGTGATGTATGGTGGTAAAGGGTATCAAAATATTCAGGTCGAACTTCCTTGGAGGAAGAATCTTGATTTAGGATTGATGGATGTCAGTTTGACTGACTTAGTGAGAGTGCACAGGATATGTAGCGCTGTAATAGATGCAGAAAGAAGAAAACTGACAAGTTCAGTTTAAAGCAATAGTACAAAGTGGAGGAATGACAATCGTGCATATAATGACCATTTTTATTTTATGTATTGAATAAATACATTTTTATTTATTGGAAATATACTTGCCTCTTCATTAAAAAGGTTAGAAGAGGTTCATAATAAAGTCTCAATTCTTGCCTCTTTATTTTGCCCCACCCAAGATTACAGAACTACAAAATCATTTGAATCTCATAGCAAATATTTTGGCTACTATTTCATTAAAAATGTTAGCTCAGCTAAGATGATTAACTCTATGCATGGCCTGGAGTTTCTTCCCAGTCCCCCCCAAATTCACAGTAGTAAAAATTTTTAGTTGCACGTACCCCGTGTAACCTCAGGTCAGAGTACAAATAAAACAGAACTAACAATACTTTCTGGTCTGACTCTTCTTGTCATATGCATATCACAGTCCTCTTGTTCTGATTTAAATCAAAATTTCATAAGACTTTATTGTAGAATCATCACATTTGATCTACTGTCCACCTCATCTCCCCTTCTTTTATTGCTTAGTTCTATTTCTCTCTAGTGTTAATACAAAAGGCATACAGGAAGGTTTATAAAATAATAAATGGAAATTCAGGATTAAGAGAATGAACACAAAGCAAATGCCATAACAGTGGGGGTAAACAGAGTTGCAATAATTGTGTACCACACTTAGATAATAAGTACATTCACGTTATTAAGAAGGGAGACATAAGGAGTAACAGAGTGAAGGAGGCAATAAGTCTGCAGTGCAGCTATGCAGACTGTGGTCAGGAATTTGTAGTTTATTTATTAGGTGGCACTCTGATGGTGTGGATGGGGAATATAATGGTCATATTAGCATGTATGAGAGACAACTCTGACAAGTATATAAGAAAAATTGAAGGCAAGAAACCAGGAATCAGTTCTAGAAGTCCATTAGTGACCTGCACTAAGGCTCCATTCTGTATTAGAGAGTAGGCCTAGATCCAAAAGGCTGTAAATGGGAATTTATCAAACACTTATTGAGAAACTCCCATGTTCAAAACAGAATACTAAATGGTAGGCAGATACTACAATGAACAAAGCCATGATCTGAAGATGGTGTTTTTCAAGGATACCATGGAGCTGGAGAAAAAAGACAGAAATAGGGCAAGTGAAAATTTCACAAAGCTCACTCTTTTTACTTAGATCAACCATTTTTCTTGAATAAACATTCTTTGAAATGCTGAAAGTCCTATGGTTAATTTTCAGAGTTCAGAAACTGAAACAAGAATTCTCTAAAGACGTTTGCTATGAAATTATTTTAAAAACATTTTGCAGTTTTCCCACTGCTTCTATGGAGTAGTAAGTTTTCAGATCTCCTTACTCTGCCTTTTTCATACTTCTTCTGGTCATTACAGTTGTTCAAAGTGGGCTTCATTAAAGCTCTCTGTTATTTGGTCAATTTTATTCTTTGGTCTTTGCTCTCTGTTTGGACCTATATGCATGTCTTTGGGGCAGAGAGCCTTTTGAGGACAGTTATCAATCAATAGGTTGGACTCCTCAAGTTCCATTTGGTACCTACAGTATAATGTAGAGAGAATAGAAGAATGAATCTGGGAGAATTAGGTTGCAGAGTGTCTGCAAGAAGAAAACTATGCTTAGGTTGACCTGAGAAAGCAGATCCTAGAAAAATAAAGAAGGCCAAAAGACAGAAAACATGTCACTGATATCAGCTTTCATGTTCCCGGTTCCATACTACAAAAAGGTTTTAATCTAAATATGAGTTGTTGCTACCAAGCCTAATTTCTGAGCTGAAACCAGTGAAGCTGGGGTTTGGGATGGTGGGGGTGGGGGTGGGGGGGGGACGTTGTTGTTGTTTCTGCCAAGATTTAGGATGTAATTCTCAGTCTTGCTGTTTCTCATGACTGAATTTTAGACTTTGGGAAAGACTTTGATTGTTTTAATGTATATTACAGACCTACAAAAATGAAAAAGAATGTCAATTTTCTTTTAAGAAACTGGGAAGAGGGCCTATGTTAAAATATATGAGAGTTCATATATCTGATCATAAGCAAAGAGTCAAAGTCAAAACTTATAGAAGCATCACATAGTCTTTGATCTGGTTTTATTAACTATTTGTTTTTTTTTTCTAAAATCTTCATTATTTTATTTGTTACAATTCAGAAACTATACTTTTAATTTCATTAGTGTGTGTTGACAATCCCATTAGAACACACGATAGAATATTTTCATACATATAAAACTTCTACATCTAAATTGGTATTGCATATGACTAGGAACCTGTTAATTTAACCCATATTGAATAATCATTCACATATTCCCTTCCTGCTGTTTGATGAAAGTGTAGGTGGGGCTATGAGGTTTAAAACGGTAAGTAACGATTATCAGAAAACTCTGGTCAAATACCTTTCCTCATGGTGCTTTTTAGAAAACAGAAAGGACTAGCCCACCATCCTCCTCCAATTCTGTGTCCTCCTCCAGAGAACCACAAAGCAGGCATGGCGAAGGTGGCTTAGAAGTAGAATTTTCAGATAGATATATTTTGTATGCAGCAGCTACAATTCCATCCCCCCAAGCAATAAAGTAAGTGAGTACCAAAGAAGCAGGGTAAATTATGAAGAGAGGGAAGGTTGGAAAAAAAATAAGTTTATTCTTCCTTTTGGATTTCTGTAGAAAAACTCTCAGATAAGAGAGAAGAAACAGATGATTCAAGGATTAGAAATTTTGAGAAAAGTTATATAAATTCTTGCCCATAGGTGATAACTAAATACTCAATCTTTCTTGACTTTACAGAGACCAGAACCTCCTAGAAAATTGCTTGCAAGAGAAAGTATGTACCATAAAATCTATTGATAAAGCAACATACTTTTAGTACTTTCTAATGTGTCATAACAGGAAAGAAACTGTGAATTGAATAATGAGTAATCATCTATTGATACTAGTCTTTTATATTTGCCTTTTTTTCCCCCTTAAAGCTTACTTTCAGTTAATTCTTAAATTTTGCAGTGATCTAAAGTTCTTATGAAAAGATAATGTTGGCCCGTCAGGAAGAGTCTCACAGGTATAGATAGAAGTGTGCGGAATGACATTAAAGGACCTAGCCGTCACAGCAGCACGAAATCCCACAAGCCCATTTTATCATGGGAAGCCACTAGGTGACATGGCTTTGCAGCCTTGGCTGGTGAGCTTGGGATGCCTGGGTCTGGCTCTAGCCATTTTAGTGAGAAGTGCCCTGGTCACCTAAGAACATCACATATAAAAGTACCTGGTCACCTATGAGCTGAGTCTTGGAACAAGCAGATAAGATGGTGCAATTTACAAAGCCCAGCCCTGGAACTAGTCAAACCAGTCAGGAAAGACAAAGATGTTGGAGAACAACACATACTCTGACATACTTTTTCACATGGACACTCACTCAAGTCATAGGATGTACAGCAAATATAAAAGCTTTGCTTCAAGGGAATCTTTCTCAGTCTAATTTTAAAGTGGAAAACAACTAAAAACTAGGTTCTAATTACTATATTTCACTAAATGGAAAATTTTTGGAATATCTCTTTTTCATATATCAAAGTTGGAAACTCTTTCTCACACTTAGCCTAAGAATAACAATGCAGGTTTTTTTTTTTTTTTTGTATCTGTGGTAATCAGAAAAATAATACATACTGAATGTCTTAGTTTATATATGCCGTAGTGCATTAGAACAACTACTTTCTCTGTAAATTTTTTTTTTTTATTTATGATAGTCACACAGAGAGCGAGAGAGCAAGAGAGGCAGAGACACAGGCAGAGGGAGAAGCAGGCTCCATGCACCGGGAGCCCGACGTGGGATTCGATCCCGGGTCTCCAGGATCGCGCCCTGGGCCAAAGGCAGGCGCCAAACCGCTGCGCCACCCAGGGATCCCTCCCTGTAAAAATTTAGATTTCATTTTAAAAATGTTTGATTTAGGATGTCATTATATAAAACAAGTATTTTACAACATAGGCCGTCATCCAAAATCTGTTTTCAAACCACTAGCCATTGTACAATAAAGGATAAAAAAGTACATTAGGAGACTCCTGGATAAGAGCAAGATTGAATTGCTTTTCCTAAGGTGCTTCCAAACACTCTCAAATGTGTCGGGAAAGAGTGTGTTACAGAGGTGTTAAATTTTCTTTGAATGTTGATCTGAAATGTGAATATTTCCATGCTAACCTAAGGTCATATTCTGGGTATGAACAAGCTCCATTATGGGGATCATATTGTTTAACCTGGTGCCTACATACTAGCCTTCCAGGCTTTGCTGCCAATTACTGATATTTACAGCCTTAATGTCTTAAAAGAAATAATTTAAAAACAGACTACTCATTTATCAGTAAAAGGATTTTTTTGCAAGCCCAAAATTTATTTGCAGTAAATAAGAGGTGGCTTACAGAAATGCCGCAGATGCATTTTGTTTCTGCTTTTGGTCCAGTTTAAGCTGTGACATCACCATTGACTTACTAGGAAAATGGTTTCCCAAATCTGGTCCCCGGGCGTCCATTTCTGGATCAAAATGAGGAATCCAATTTCCCTAACCTTGTTCCTCTCCCAACTCTTTCAGACCCCAGCCTAGTGGGACCCTTTTTTTTTTCTATCTTAACTAATTTGTTCCCTCATTATACCATCTTTTCTCAGCCTTCCTATCTAAAACAGTTTGCACTGATACTCTTTTATTGAGTACAAAACCAGTCAGTCTCTATGAGCATTAACATTTTTGTTGACTTTCAGAAAATTGTTAACAGTTAGCTGCACTCATTTTCATATATGCAAATCATAGGTTCATCTCTGCGGCAGGGATTGGGAGAGAGAGATGGCTTATTTTTCACTCTTACATCTTAGCTAGACAGATGTCTTTGAAGACACACAAATGTTTTGACTACATCTGTTTTGAGAAACACTTTGTTATAAATAATCTGGCATATTATTAAATAATATTGTTGGATCATAGACACCATTTCTTCTTGCATGTTATGTGGCTAGCCAGCAATTTGGTGATTTTTTTTTTCTATTTTCACCAAAAAGTAACTTATCCCAGCAAGAAATGTTGGGGAAAAACAAAAGACTTGGAGGAAATATGGATCAAATGGAAACCTATAAAAAAATATTTTACTCCTGTACAGAGTAAACCAACTTGAAAGCAATCTGAAAGTCTAAGTAAATTCCTCACTATGTTCTCTTTATAACCATCATAGTACCCAGCGAGGCACCATCTGATATAAAAAATTAAATGTTACCCTCTGTCCCAGAAAAACGTAAGAATGTTACATGATTCTTCCTCATTCCTGCTTGCCTCTTTTCCAGGTAACCTCTGAAGAACTGAATAGTATAATTCAGAATATAATGACCTGGGTTGTAGCTACAGTGACCAGTATATTATACCCAGCCATCACAAAGTATGAAGAAAGATTGCGAAATAAGGCATATCCAGTGTCTGAGGACTCCATCCTCTCTTCAGACAGCTCAAGTTTCTGCAGCACATGCAGTGAAGAGTTTACATATGGAAGCTACACATCTGCCACAACTCAAACATTTCCTAGAGAGCCCTGTGCATTTGCAGTTGACATATCAGTAAGGCGACCAACCACACCCTTAAAACCACCGTCTGCTCACGTGGAAAGAACAATTGTGGGTAAAACATATGACGTGAAAGGACAATCTATAACATCTGAACTCAAATATAATAAAACCAGTATGATATATGCATATCCTAAGGTCAGAACTTGTAAATCTGATAGTCACCTCCTGACATCACTTGAAAGATGCACCAAAATATCTAAGGACGCCACCACTGAAACAGATGGCTTAGAGAGTCCACTGTTTCCTGATCAAAAAGCAAAAGCCACGAATGAAATGAAGAATTTAAAGAATGTTTTTGTTAACTTTAAATGTCACTTAAAAGGGGAAACTGAATTGATTTTAGAAAGTATTTTTCAAGAAATAATGTCTGATTTAACACAGGCCATTCCTTCTCTTTCTTCTGTTACTGCTGAAGTTTTTGTTGACCAAAGTGAACCGGAAAAAGAAGACTTGCTCTCCAATATTGATATCTGCTCAGCAGCCTCAGAGATTGTAGAGAATATGCTTGAGAAGCTACAGTCTGCAGTTGAGAAAAAATGTGTTGAGATATTTTCCCCAGAAGATCTGTCAGTTGACATTAAACCAGGTTTACCACTCAGTAGGGAATATCTCAGTCCATCGAATGCAAAATCTTTAAAAGCTTCACTGCCTTACAATTTGGAACCCATGTGTGATATTGCTGAGGATATGGTACATGCCATTTTAGAAAAGCTGATGGCTCTTGCATCTTGTAAGCAAAATGAACTTCCTCGTCTTGAAGATACAACCAAACTTTCTGACCAGCAACCTATGACAGACCCAACATGCACGTCCCTCAAAAGAGCCAGCAAAAAGAAACCTAGTCCTGAACCTGATGCAGCTACTTTAATTGTTAAAGATCAGATACAAAATTTAATATCAAATATTTTTTCTCAGTCCTCTTTGGTTGGATATATAGAGGAAGCAATCAGTACTATACTAGGATTTGTACAAACTGAACTTAATAGCGAGAGGCTTATTGCATCTGAAGAAACCATAGTCCTCCTTCAGCTCCTTGATGACGCCTTCACTCAGCTACATCAGGAGCCAGTAAAGGCAGATGCCCAAAAATGTAGGCACTCTAGACTACAAAATCCTCCTGACACTGAAGAAAAGTACAGACTCACTGGCACAAGATTATCTAACGGTCCTAGGTCTAAAAGATCCTTTCCACCTATTAATGTTCCTGGCATGGTCCTTTATTCTGAAGATGATAATGAAGAAATCGACAAAATTGTGAAAAATGTACTCGATTCATCTTTCAGAGATGAAAAGCCAAAATCACAGGCACAAATTCCTGAGAATCAGTTTACAAAAGGCAACACCTGTTTTGAATATAAAAAAAATAGCAAACCACCTACAAAGGCTGCTTCTGGAAGAAGCAAAGTTGAATTTTGTGAGAGGGGATTAAAGACTGAGCTACCATCTTTTAATGATAAAGAAATTCTAAAGGAAAAACCCTGTTTGAATAGGGACATGTTGATTTTCAGCCAAGATGAAAAGCATCACATACAAAAGGCTTCAGAAAACATAGTTAAAAGTATTTTAACAGAAATGCTCAAGGACTTAGCTTCTGTTCCTGGCCACTTAGACAGTAAAACTGGCCAAGAAGCCTCAGTTCTTGTTTCAGGAAAATCTCAAGGTCTGTCGCATCAAGAACGGACGGACCAGATGATCTCTGTGTCAGAAATTAGTGCGGTGGCTCAAGAAATAACAGATGCTGTGCTAAATATACTCCAAAAGGCTTCAAGTTGCATTCTCAATACCACCAGAGGTTCCATTTCATCATCAGTTCAAACATCCCTAGGTAGTTCTGATACTCCACACACGGTCGAAGGAGCACCAAATAAAAAGCCATTAAAAATATGGTTTGGCAGTGAAAAGAAAGTGAAATATTTATCTTCATTCAATGTAGATCCTGCAAAGCCTTCTCCGTTAAAATCTGAAAAAAGTGAACCTCAACCTGTAGGTGACGTTACTGATAAGATCATCAGTACAATTTTTAAAAGGCTGAAGTTATTCATTTGTCAAAAATTACAAATGGGCTTCACACCTTCAGTTGTGGAGCAAACTTCATTAAAATCTCAACTTAGTGGTTACACAACTAAAGTGGTAAACATTGTTTTGCGTGCTATCCAGAATGAACTAGAACTCAATAAGAGAAGCCTAAATCATAGGGAACTGGACCCTGCCAAATCCCTTACAGGTAAAGGACTTTTTGATGACACTGATAAATTAGAATCTCTGGTCTCAAATCTCAGTGATGACATTATGGAATCTCCATTATTAACTTGTATTTATGAAATGTTATCAAGTGGGCTTTGTGACCAAAGCAGTATATCACTTCCTGCAGAGAAGCCAAAGCCTGCAACTTCATATGGATCTGACATTATTGATAAACAAGATGTTTTGCCAAGTAGGCAGGATAAAAAATCTTTTCACAGATTTTTGGCTACTCCATGCGCTCTCCATAGTGTTGTAAATGGAAAAGATCCCAAAGACAATGCTAGATTGCAAGTGTTAGACAGCATTGGGGAGGCACTATATGAAATGTTATGTACGCTCATAGCAACCCATTCTCAGCATCAGCCACCTTGTAGTAAACCAAACAGAGAAAAGAATGAAAATTCCCAAATGGCTGCTACATTAAAGTCCAATATTCAGCACATTTCCAAAACAATTTTGGAATACATCCTTGCAAAATTATGTAGTGTTGATACGGATACCAGCTTTGCAAGTTCTGGATTTAAAGCTGTCTCAGAGTCTCTTGATATTGACAACCTATCATTTGCTTCGATTATTGAGGAAATGGCCAAATGTACTGACATAATCTCTGGCATAATTTCCAGGATGATTCAGGAGGGTCCTAAACAGGTGACAAAAAGCAAAGCAAAAACTATCACGCCTGCGTCTTCCAAAACAGGAAGCACAAAAGAAACACCTCCCAATGAACTGAAAGCTATAGCTTTAGATATTCTTAATATGGTTTTTGCTAAACTGGAAGGGTTTGCTAATGGAAATTTAGAAACTCTGGGGTCTCTTAATGATGGAAATGAAGAAAGCAGTAAGAGAGCCTTGGAATGGGAAAGTCCCAGTATTTTCACAGGCACACATGAGGAACTGCTGCAGTCTGCTTTATACACGAATGCAAAGAGGATATCTAGTACTATTTTGAAAGCTATTCAAACGGAACTGAATGTGAACTCATTAGATTTGAAGACAAGTGTAAATACCCCAACACCCGAGAAACAAATGCTTAAGAATATAGTCGATTTAATTTTAGATGCAGTATCCTCGGATATGTTCAATGAGACTGAATCTGAAGAGGGAGGCACTGAAACTTATCGATACAGGCCAACCTGTGGAAATTCGCTTCCTGGAGGAGCTGAATCAGATTCATTTCTAGAAGATGCCTCATGTACAAAGAAAGAATTCACTGGGGAGAGAACACTAGTAAGAGAAGAAGATAAATCAGATTCTCTTAAACAATGGGTTCTAGAAAGAACCTTAAACAAAATTGAAGTGAAACTCAAAGACCCACAGAAATCTCCAATTGTCCCCATTATAAGAAATATTTTGAATGAAATTTTTCAAAACACTTTGGTCAGTCAATTAAATGTGCTTTCTCTCTCCCATTGTCATTTAAGTAGCATCGCTCACGATGTTGATGAGCCAATTCCTCAAACATCTGTTCAGTTTATAGATAAAATGATGGGTCCTATAGTGTCTGAAGCAGACGTAATCATAGTGGCAGACGATGTTGTTAGAACTGTATTTCATAAACTTTTCTCAGCCGCCATGCTGGAAAGAAATGCAAGTGAAAATAGGTATAAAACCATCACCTTTAGAGCAAATGTTTCTTTACATGAACACACCCATGGAAGGAAGTCCTCTGTTAGCGTGCTAGATAAGAACCCGTGTACTCTTACGTCCAGACTCAATGATGACAAACAGGCCAAAGTAAACATAGTTGAAGATATTGTACAGGCAATATTAACAAACTTAGAGACTTTTGCTACTTCCAAAGTAAGATCTCTCTTTTGTCCCCAAATCAACTTCACAGTCCCAATGGCTTTCCCTACTCAGGATGAAAGTGCATTAAGCAAGGCATTATCAGCCAAAGATTTGTATTCTGGTGATCAACTGTCCACTTGCTCAGTGGATCATATGACATCAGAAGAGACCAACTCAGTGTGTCAACTCCCTTTAAATAAATTAAATACATATGCAACAGAGGTGGCTAGAAAAATTTTACAAGGCATCAAACATGAGTTAGATAAAGAAAGGGAAAGTCCCTTCTTAACTCATAACATTGTGGTTATTGAGAGCGTTGCGAGTCACATTGTTAACACAGTGTTAGATATCGTATCATCTAAAGGCAAGTGTGGCAAAAACAATTCCGAGAAAGAGAGCAATTCAGGTCAACAAGAAGGAATCATTGAAAAGCTGTTTAATAAGACCGAATATAGGAAAGTACTTCAGTTTCAAATACAAGATATCATTGAAGGCATCTTATGTGATATTTATGAAAAAACCTTGTATCAAAATCATCTCTCATGTGCCACAGCCACTCTGAAGTGTAGCACAGCTGGGAAACATTCCGGAGCAGATTCTGAAACGGTCACTGAGGAGGCGAATAAGATTATTCCAAGACTTTCAGTTCCCAAATCGGATGTCATTTTGATATCTAATGACATGGTCAATATTGTTCTTCATAATCTCAGCTCTGCTGTCCTACTCAGCATAAATGCAAAGAATCCTACTTCTGCAAGACTGCCCCTGAACTTCTGTGACATATTTTCACAAGCAGAGTGTCAACAGCCTCCTCTTATGGGGTCAACAAGTGAAAGAAAAACAGAGTATTTGCCACCCTCAGGAAGTCTGAAATCCGCTTATGCTGATGATTGTCAGATAACTGCAGTAGAGAAAGAAGATGCCAAAAAATCTGCTCCTGACCCGAGTGAGGAAAATGCTAACTTCATTACTAAAACTGTTTTCAATCGGTTAGAAGCTTTTACCACAGAAAGAATAGACTCATTAATTACTGTTGCTTTCCAGGCTAACGAAGAGTCCATTGCTAGCCTAGAACTGGAAAATTATAAACGAGACGATAGCGCCTGTCATGAATCAAGCCAAGTCGAATCAAATGTGGACGTCCTTAAAGTATCCACTAAAACTATCCTTGGCCTTGAGCTCACAGATTCCACTTTTGCAAGTTACAGAGAAAATCTTCGGTCCACAATTCATCTACCACAAGGTTGTCTTAAGGAATATGCTGACATCATTACCAGTGCCATATTGAGACTTATTAAAAGTGACCTAGACTCAGAAATTCAAAAGATGTATTCATACCCAAACAACATTTCATTCCAAGAAAATATCATCGTGAGTGGAATTGTCAACAGTATCTTAGAGAATTTATATGACAAAAGATCTGCTAAGGAAATCAGTGTTTACTCAAAAGACAATCCTAAGTCATTTTCACCACTAACTGTACCAAATGAAATGTGGCTGGGACAAAGAGAGCAGGAGAAAGACAAACTACCTCGGGTTTCAATATATCCGTTGGAACAAAACCAAATGACATTGGAAAAAGAAAGCCAGGGAACTGTTTTGGAAGAAATATTTATGAGAAATGGAGAATCAAAGCAAAAAGAAAAGACAGTATTGCTCAGTGCAGTGGAAGACGTTTTAACTCAAGTGCATCAAAGAATAATAGAAATCATTGGCCATTTGTCTCCATTTAATGAAATCCCCCACGTAGTATCTAATTCTAAAATTAGAACATTAGGCATAACACAGAAAAACCTCTTTCAGTCACAGATTAGCAGCACAGCAAATGACGTGGTTGAAAGTGTTTTTGGGAAAATGTACTCTATAGTTGTTATCTCATTAAACAAAAGTAACAGACAAGTAGAAGGATCTGACAACAACGATACGTTGTCTAAGAAAGTGGCATGCGCCAAAGAAACCAAACAAACAGGAAAAAGAAGTAATGCCACCAGATATGTGATACCACAGGTTTATTGTTATGCAGGCAGTCAAAATGTGTCTCTATTAGAAAACAAATGTTTGCAGTACTCCCCGTCGCAAGTGGGGAAGGATTTAGTCCAAATGGTTCTTAATAAGATCATAAATTTTGCCTCAATTCATCTAGAAGACACTTTGTCCCCTGAAAGTTGTTCTGATGAGTTGCAACCTGTAAAGCTACACAGTTCTAAAGTGAGCTTTAAGGGCAGCCCTAAACCAGATTTTAAAACGAGTTTAAAAGCAAGACCAAAAGCTACTCCTTTGTCTAAATTTAGAACGAAATCACACCTAGGACCTGGTGGTACTAAGGTCAAAGGCAAGACCAGGTTGGGTGCTAGAGAAAAGACTCCAAGAGACAGCCAGTCCAAGACCTCCACTAAGCGGTCGCACTCCCTATCAGCAGGAGATGCCAAAAACTTACTGGACATGAAACTGCCTACCTCAGAACTAAAAATGTACGCCAAGGATATAATAAGTACCATCCTGGCAACAATTGTGAAAGCATTTGAGAAGGTGAAGCAAACCAGAACAATGATGAATGTTGAAGCTTTACCGTCCGATCAAATCATGGCAGCCAATGAAACAGTTAATATGGTTTTGCAAGAATTATATGCTACAAGTAACCACGATTTGGCTTATCCAATCAAGTTCTCACACGTGGAACACCTCAAACTTTCACAAGGGCATTTTGATGCGGAGTACCTTGCCAAACCACAGGCGTGTTTTTACTTGGAAAATGTTTCTTCACAGCTAGAACAGATTTTTCCTAAAGAAGGTATATTTAAAAAAATGTTTGACAAATGGCAAGCGGAATCAAATGACATAGAAAATGAAAAGTATAAGCTAATGACGATAGCTGAAAATGTCTTGACTGAAATTCCAATAAAAGCAAAAGAATTAGAATATTCCCTCTCGCTTTTAAGTTTGCCGCAACTTGAGGATTGTGAAAGCAGGTGCTATAGTCATTTTAAAGGAACTTCTACTAGACTTGAAGATACCAAAGCGCAAATTAATATATTTGGAAGAGAAATTGTAGAAATGCTGTTTGAAAAATTACAGCTGTGTTTTTTGTCCCAGGTGTCGCCCCCAGATAGCAAAGAAACTCTAGCAAGTAGGAAAGAATACAGTCGTACCAGAAGTAAACATGATTTGCCGATCAAGGACATCCTCAGCAGTGCACCGGCATATAACACAAAGACAATAGACCAGATTTCTTTGGGCTCCAGCAACCAAATTGTCCGAGAAATTGTAGAAAGGGTTTTAAACATTTTGGAGTCCTTTGTCGACTTGCAGTTTAAATATATCTCTAAATATGAGTTTTCTGAAATAGTGAAAATGCCTATAGAAAACTTTTTTCCCGCCCAACAGAGCCTATTAAGCAAAAAGATGTTGCCAAAACTGCAACCGCTTAAAAAGTTTTCTGATGAACCCAGTTCAAATACTGTTGCTTCTAAGGAAAACATACAGGATACCCTTCTACAGCTCCACTCGTTCCATTCAGAATTATTTACATATGCTATTAATATTGTCAGTGACATGCTCAGTACAATTAAGAACAAGCTAGACAAAGAAATAAGTCAAGCGGAACCATCCTCCATTAGCACATTGAAAGAGACCGTCATAGCAAGTGAGATCATTGGCACACTGATGGACCAGTGTACTCATATCAATAATCTTCCGAAGGGAAGGTGGTACCAAGGAGCAGAAAATAGCTATGTTGCTAATCAGCTTGAGTTAGCAACTAATATGAAAATGCCCACATCGAAGTTGAAGGAAGTTCGTTTTGGGGATAATCCTTTGCAAATCATACCTGGTGACGTGTGTCATTCAGAGGAAAATATGAAAAGAAAGTACAGAGCTTCATCAAACTTACCCTCATATGCCAGAGCGTCTATAGAAGATACAATTAAAGGCTCAGAGCCAATGGAAAGGCTTGATTCAGAAAATACAGTGTCGTGTTTTAAAAACAAGGTACAAGACTACAGCCCAAGGGACTCAAACTTTGGCCATTTTGACCAAACCGTGCGAGGAAGTAGCTCTCTCCCTGAAGCCAGTGTCTTACAAAGACTGTTTAAGAAAGCAAATGAGTCCACAGAGACAGCATTAAAGCAAGTCGTGTCATTCATAGAAATAGGAAAAGGTGAAAACCCAAGAGTGTTTCACTATGAAACTCTCAAACCAGTTGAGCCAAGCCAAATTCAGACAAATGTTTCTCCACTCAAAATATGTTTAGCTGCAGAAAATATTGTCAATACTGTGCTGTCCAGCTCTGGCTTTCCAAGTCAACCACACATTAATGAAAAAAACATGGAAACAATGAAACCAATTTTCATATCAAATCAAAACCCTTTGTCTGTTATATCTGAAGGACAAAAGAATGAGGAGAAGAGTTTGCTTAGAACGTGGGATAAAAAAGTCAGCTATCTACCGGAAGAAGAAGAAAAAAGAGCTGAAGCCAGCTGGGGAGATTTTTCTTTATTGCAAAAATGGGAAAGTCAGAGATACCCAAGAAGAAAGAGTCTGAAGGAAGTTAAAGCCATCGCTTTTGCTGATCATGAGCTGGGTCCAAAAGAAATTCATTTGGTAGCAAGACATATCACCACATCTGTGGTCACATATTTCAAGAACTTTGAAACTAGAGGTAAGCGAGAAATAACCTACTTTAAAAGTTAGCATAATGTAGAAATAATAGATTTTTTTTTAAAATAAAATATCCTATCCAAGGAGCTGAATTTACTGTTTTTTTTTTGGGGGGGGGGGTTGTTTTGTTGTTCATTTGTTTGAAATGAAAATAGCCTTAGAAGTGGAGTATCTAATTACTTCTTAATATATCAGGATACAAAAAAAAAAAAAAGCAAAGTTTAACCTCACATGGTTTGAATCTGAACAATTCTGTTGCTCAGTTTTCCATATCTACAGATGAGGGAAGAAGACATTACTATAAAGCAGGGGATTTTGGTTTAATATAAGATAGGAGTTCCAAATAATTTTTAAAGGTTTTATACATGACCTCTTTATAATCTTGCCAAGTATATAGTTAATTGATTGAAGTTAGTGGTTCATCTTTTCAAGGTGTACAGTTGAATTCTTTGCTTCATTAATCATGATTTCTAAGAACAGTGGTATTAACTATTTGTTTTGTATATATTCCAGGATTCTTAAATTCCTTTAAGCCCAAATACAACCTCACAAAGTTATTTTCACTCCTTTTCTAAGAGGTTGAATCATATGTAAGAGCCATTTTTTTTTGTATATCAAAACCTATTGATTATTGGCAGTTTCACAAAAATGTAATCTAATAATGTCATACATAGTACCCCTGAACCGGATCAGTAATTCCAGTTACCAGTTATGAGTTGCTTCAATACCAGGTCAGATACGTCACTTGCCAACCATTCAAACGGGGAAACACATCGTAGCAGTCCTATCCACCTGTCTGGGGGTCATTTCTCATCCTCAAAACGAGCGTTCTTTCAAGATGGATAGCTGTGCGTCTGCCGTTTCAAGCTCATAAACAGACTTTCCCCAAACATAGCTTACGTGAACTTAGAGAATAATAATGAAAAACAAACAAGAGAAGATCCATGATTTCATGCCATTGGCATTCATCTCTATCAAATCTATTCTGTATTTTCAGACATGTTTGGGGCCTTCCACTGATTTTACTTCTGCTTCTTATTCCTCTTGGAATATGCTTTCCTCACTTTCTTCATCTCAACATAACCAAATCCTATCTAGCAGTCAAAGCTCAGCTTAAAAAGCTGCCCATCTCCACGGAGTGTTGCCTGATTTTGCATGCAGAGACATAATAGATGATTATGTTTTGAGGAAGTTTTGAGGGGGGAAAAAACTTCCTCCCCCAAATAAATAAGAATAAATAATAAATATTTTTTTAGGAAAAAAAGTAATGGATAGCCTAACATTAAATGTTTTCACTGAAAAAATAATTTTAAATAATTACATGATCTCTCTAGAGATCACGGCAGATAAGCTAGATTATAACATTAAACTAGGAAACCATTATTCTGCTCCATGATTTCCAGCTTCTTAGGGCCCCTAACCCATTTTAGCAAGACAGATATCAGCACTTAACTGGGAGATTTAAATTCTTCAGGGTTACTTGATTTCCTGGCTAAAATTAAGAGTCTACAGATGGGAAAGAAATTTCTGGTGAAAACTCAGTTTCATTCCTGATTACGTTTTTTCTTCAGTGAGATATCCCAGAGGAGAAAGTCATATGAAAATAATTACCAATACATTGAATTGTACATATTTCTTTTTATGCATGCTAAAAGTGGTCATTTTTTTCCAGCTTCCAGTGAAGAGAAGGTGTCTATTATCTCTACATTGTCAAGTAAAAAATGTGACTCAGAACAGCCTCTAAGAAGTATCTACAATGATTCTTCACTTAATCAGTTTTGCGACCATCTCACTGAGTCTGTTATTTGCCGTTTAACTTCAAGCATTTCTGGTAACATCAAAGATAGTAGAGCCAAAGGGAAAACATTGGAAAGCCAAATTGCATCATTTAACAAGATTATTTCAATTGATTCTCAAATGTTTGAAAGCAGGTCAATTTCTATTGGGGAACTTGCTCTAAGTATTTCCAATACCATTACTGAAATCCTTTTAAAGAGTAACATTATAGAGGTTGACACCGCACTGCAAATGTTTCCTTTAGAAACAAAGTACGTTTACTGCCCGGGAGTAGCTCCTGATGACTTTGATAATCTCTTTCAAGATCTCTTAACAGGAGTGATTCATGTAATGTCCAAAGAAATTGGAATAAACCATCACCTTGAAAGCAATGGCAGAAAATCATTTTCCATGCTTAGAAGAAATAGGGTGACTGTTTGCAATGAAACAAATACCATGGAAGGACAGAAAGGCTCCAAAGATTGGGAATCATCTAATTACCAAATTGATCCTCTCCTTCAAAAAAGTAAATTAAATTATCTGGCACGTAAGTTAGACAATCTGGCTGGTACCCTAAAAACTCATGAATCCAAAGAAGTAGTCAATAAAGTTTTTAATATTGTTTTAGATTTATTTTTACCAGATGAACATCCAGATGACGTTATGAATTCTGGTAAAACAGCAGGAACATTTTACTCATCCTCAAATGATCAGCAAAGTAACGGCATTCTTGAAAATAACTTAGGCCTCACCCCCAAATCAGTTTTTCTTCTCAATGTCGTGTGTGAGAAACTTATCAGAACACTTTTGGAAAAATGCACAAACACGGTTTCTCTCGATAATAGCCCTCTATCCAATGAAATATCAACAGAAGAATATAAACTTTTAAAAACACTGCAAAATGTAGACGAAGAATTTGATTATTGTAAGGGAGCAATGGACTGTGAACAAAATCAGGATTATATGTCAAACTTTTTAGAAAATCTGGCAGAAATAGATCAAGATTTATTATCATCAGACTCTATGCTTACTATTATTTCCCACAACTTGGTTAAATCACTGATGGAGAAACTACATCACAGCGTACAGCTCCCCCAAACCCCACCTTTTGCATGCACAAGAAGAGAGATGCAGGCTAGTTTCATAAAGGCAAACAGGCCAGAATTAACAGAATTAGGACAAGGTAAAGCCTTTTTAGGATTCATGAGTTATGATGGTAATGCTTTGACGGATTCCCTGAATAATCCCACTGGGGTTAGCTCCAAAATACAAGCACCACTTGGCAAGAAATGTTCAGTAAATTCTACTTTTGTGTCTCCTCTCAAGAGACAGGGATCAAATGATATGGAGACAATACCCATCCATAATAAACTATATCCAGGAGATATAAATACAGGTGTGTACTCGGCCATATTTTTGGAGGAAATAATTTCTGAACTATTTTTTAATCTCTCTACTTCACTGTGGGGCAAAAATGAAATCACTGAGGGCCGACTCAATGAGATGAATACATTATTTGTCAACAACATAGTGAAAGAGTTTAATAAAGCACAGGTCGCTGTTTTACGGAAAGTTGAAGAAAGGCTGTGTTTTCCACCAATCCATGAGGAAACTATTAGTAGAATTGTTGACTCCGTTTATTGTGATGTTTTTCAGCAATATAAATTGCGAGTGACCTGTGATGATGATCTAGCATGTGACAATACCTCACTAGCAGAACAAATAACTAATGGCATATTGTTAGAGATTCTAGACTACCAACTCCCATCTTGCTTCAGAGGACAGCTCGCACTAAATTCATATTACCCTCTCCAAGCTGAAATTATATTGCAGAAACTTCATAATAAACTGAGAAAATTTACTTCCTCATTCAGTTCTTCAACAGGCTACAGTACCATGTTGTCCCATTCATTTTTAGAAGATATCATCCGAAGACTTTTATCTCTACTCATTCCTTTACCCAACAAGGCTTCCTCTTTGGGAAACAAATATTTCATGAGTGCCGATTTCAATGAAATGTCTACTTGTATAATAAATAAGGTTATATCAGCCATTTCAAAACATAAAATTTTGTTCACTATATATGATAATCGGTATCTATGTACTGGAAAAAATCTCCAGAAGATGGTGGATTCTGTTTATAGTAATATCATGCAAATGTCTGGCTCTCTTGTTTCGATACAGAAAAGTATAGTCAGCCGAAGCCCAATTATGATTAACCGAATAGCCAGTTTTATTATCCAAGAGATTGTTGATAATCATCTTCAGCCATTCTTGTGTGGAGAAGGTTTACCTCGTCCGAAGATTCCATTGGATGCAGTATCAAATATGGTTAAGCAGGTTCTCAATGAAGTCACAGAGTCACACAGACTCCAGACACCATCACCCTTAGGAATATATCCTGATACATTTGTAGGGGAAATTGTTTCCAGACTTTTATCAAGGATTTTCAGTCCAAAACATAACACTGAAATTGAACTAGAAAATATGACCCAGAAAATAGTAAACTCAATCAATAGCCATTTTAACAAAGCTAAAATTCATTTTCTATATGATGACAAAGAACAGCCTTACACTTCAATAAGTACAGATATTGTGGACCAACTTGTCACCTCGATTTATAGAAATGTTTTAAAACAGCATGGGCTAGACTCTGAAGTTGATAAAGAGTCTGAAGGCAGTGATATTTTTGTGGAAAATATTACCAATTTAATTGTAGCAGCTATTTCAGATTACCTTCTTCATCCACTATTTTCTGGGGATTTGTCATCATCTTCCCATTCTATTCCAATGGCTGAGAATATTGTTCAGGACATTCTTAGTAACATCAGTAAATCTAACAAGTCAAGTCAGAGTTTATCTCCATATAACACCTTGCTGCCATACACGTTTTTAGATGACATGATAAGAGTACTGCTATCTAGAATCTTTCCATCTGCATCTAGCAGTATTCTAGACAGAGAAGCTCCAAAAGACAGATCAAGAGTGAATTTCAATGAAATTGCTTCAAAGATAATCAGCGATATTAGGATGAAAATTTCCCAACATGAAATACGATTTTCAAAAAATGAAGAGACTAAGTTTGTTTATTCAGAAGATGATGTTCAGAATCTCGTTGATTCAGTATTCAAAAATATTTCACAAAACTCTGAGTCTCAAGAACCAGTTGAGCAAAATATCACAGGCAGCAATGATATTATTATTGATAGAATAGCAGGGTTTATCATTAAACATATCTGTCACCAACATCTTCAGCCATTTGTGGATGGAAAGTTATCACCTTCTTCATCATACACATATTTTGATGATGAAAGAAAGCAGTGGTTTTATGCCACTGTTTATTCCTCAGCTTTCTTGGAAGATGTAGTCTCAGGGGTTTTAAGCAAAATATTCCACAGGGTGTTAGGCATTGTGCAAACAAAATCAGTAAGAGATTCAGAAGATGAACTGTTTGATAAAGCTGAAAAACTCATAGACTTGATAGCAGAGGAATTCCCAAAATTTGAAGCTAGCATTCTAGAAAATGCTGAGGAACAATTGTGTTTGCCTCCAGTGGAGAGAGATGTAGTCAAGAACATTATTGACACGGTGTACAGCAAACTTCTGCAAGAATATGAGATGGAAATAATGCCTGATGAAGATTTTCTGAATGACACAAAGACATTAGCTACAAGGATGACCAAAATCATCCTCGCTGAAACTTCTAATTTCCAAATTCATCCAAACCTTATAGGAAAGCTTCCTTTTACATCACACTCCAAACTCAATACTAATGTTTTGATGAAGAGAGTTCAATGTTACATTACCAAATCCAGATTTCAAAGGCAGGCATCAACAGTATATACTACCATGTTATCACATACCCATTTGGAAAAAATTGTCACTCAACTTCTATCTCAGATGGGTCCATTGGCCACCAGGACAGAACACCCAGATACTTCTCAATCAGACTTAAGTAACACAGTCATAAAATTGATAAATGAGATCATGTCGATAATTTCAAAACATGCAATATGTATTATTAAACATGGAAATGGGAAACAAAGTATGATTTCAGAAAAAGATATCCAGTCCATGGTTGATTCCATTTATGCCGATCTTTCATATTCAGATCTATACCAATCTCTTACAAAAGATAAAAAAGGAATAAGTAATATACCTGTTTCAAAAATAGCAAGTTTTATTATAAAAGAAATCTTTAACCACCATCTTCAGTCATTTTTATCTGCAGATAAAACTCTTCTTTCACCTGCAGTTGATCAAACACATAAACAGAAAGCAATAGATCCTAAACAAAGAGAGTTGTCTTTCATTGTGAATTCGGCTTTCTTTTTGGAGGAAGTAATTTCTGAGCTCTTATGTAAACTCCTCTATGCATTCTCACATAATTTATTGGCTGCTGAAAACCTAGATACAGTAAAAGCCAAAATTACTGGCATTGTTACAACACTAGTAAATTCAATTGTTCTGGAGTTTACCACATCAGAGATTTTAGTTGCAGATAACTTTGATGCTGATATGTGTTTTTCAGAAGGATATAGAGAAATTGTTCAAAAAACAGTCAACCTAATTTATGAAAAAATTTTAGATGAATATAAATCTCTGATCCAAGTATACAGGGCTCTACAAAGTGACACTGTTTGTTTTGGAAGAAAAATATATCACTTGCTATTGGAGCAAATTTATGACTATCAGGTGCAATCACTAGTTTCAGGAGAACTAGTGTCTTCTTCTTTTTCTTCCCCTCAAGCTGATAATATCATTAGAAATGTGCTCAATGTCATCACAAATGACCGCCATACCTTGCCGTCATGTATTACTGTGCTGCCTCGTTCCCTTTTGGAAGATTTGATTTACAAGCTGCTCGTGCATATCTTCCCCTCATCCAACAGTGACAGCGAGCTAAAAGAGGAAGAAGTTACATCAGATTGTGAGTTTGTAGATGCAACTTCAAAGCTGACAGAGGAAATTATCAAAGAAATATCTGAACATGAGGTCCGTCTCGCCGCAGCAGAAGAGCATGCTGAAAGTATGCAATTAGAAGTGATTGAGAATTTGGTTGACTCTATATGTAATAACATTTTGAAAAAATCTGAATTTCAAGCTGAAGTACAGAAAGGTTCAGACAAAAAGGAAGGCTCGTTCCTCAGTAAAATAGCTGGATTCATCATGAAGGAAATCATGGATCATCATCTGCAGCCATTTTTACATGGTGAAGAATCATCTTCCAGGGCCATATCTGATCATGGGCGTATGTCTGTACTTAGTAAACCTGGTAAAGAAAAAACACAGCCCACCCTATATTCAGCTACATTTTTGGAAGATGTAATCGTTGACCTTGTTCATAAATTTTATTCCCGTCCCAGTATTACTGAAGATTCTAAGAAAAAAGAAGTGCTAGAGCCAGACATTGTGGGCTTAGCTATAAAGTTCGCAAATTCTCTGATAGGAGAATTTAGGAAGAGTAAAATTAAAGTTCTACCAAAAGCCGAGGAAATGTTTTCTTTTCCACCAATTGATAAAGAAACCGTTGACAAGATATCCAATTTTGTGTATGACCAGTTCATAGGAAAGTACGGATCTAGTGATATTCAGACAGATGATAAAAGTAACATTGTAATAGAAACGATTGCTGCTTTAGCTCAGAAGGCAATCTCTGCTTTCAAGATTCAACCACTTTTTTCAGGAGACTGGTCTTCCACCTTCTTTTCATTTCTAAATCCGGATAATATCACCCAAAGGGTTCAGCACCTACCACCGCAAACCTCTACACAGATAAACAGATCCTTGAAAGGAAACGAACTTGCTTTGCCAAAGCAATCGCATAAACACACTTCTGTAACCACAGACCAGAAAAATGTGTCGGACACTTTGGAAACAGACAGCGGTGCAATAACTAGAAAGAAAAGTCTCAAAACCGAAAAGACATCAATGAAAAAAGGTGACGTCCAAGATACAGTAGTTAACTCTATAACGAGAATTATGGAAAGCAATGTGATTAACGTGTTATCCATGCCAGCTGCAAGCACGGCAAATAAAAAGAAAGGGACAGAAAATAAAACAGAAGTTCCAGGTAATGAGAATGTATCAGGAGTTGCTTCTCTAACTACTAGTGTGAAAAATAAAGCTAGGCCAGAGCCCGATTTGATGGTAACTCTTGAAAGTAATGAAATTGAGAAGACGAGCATATCAGCTACAAAAGATGAGAAGAGACAAGATAATAAGGTACACACGCAGTCTCCAGTAGCTACTATGATAGTATATGAGGGGGAAAAACTTGGACCAAATGTTGAAATAAGAAATGAAGAGAAGATTGACAAAATAAGTGTAGATACATTTAAAAAGGAAGACAAGCCCTTCCAGTTATCTGTGACATCCAAAGCAAGAAATACAAGGACCAAACCAGAAGGTGGTTTGAAAACAGTTACCCAAAGGCCAAACAATGAGGATGGAAAAGACCCTGCATATCAAAAAGATGTGAATGAGGAACAATACTCAGATTATGAATATGTTCAAAATGTCACCGAAAACATTTATAACAATATTTTAGAACTATATCATTCCGCAGAATCAGCAGAGTATTCAAAACCCCCAAGTCTCGTAATTGATGCAACATCACATGTAATTCAAGACGTTGGTCAAAATTTTACACAGTCTGTTTCAACAAGGGATTCATCCCTCTCAATTAACAAAAATCTCCTGGTCAAAGAGAAAGAAGATAAAGACCAACAGAGAAATAAAGAGAGAGAGAAAGAGAGCGAGAGAGAGAAATGGAAAAAAATAGAAAAAGTGAAAAGTAAGGAGATTAAAAGTGAACCTAGTAAATCAGACAGTCCTCACTACCCACCAAAAAGTAAGCCTGGAATTGTTCCCGCTAAATTTTTAGAAGATGTTATCACCGAAATGGTTAACAAATTGATCTTTTCTTCCTCATCAGAAACACAAATATGTAATGGATACCAAAATGTAAGTGATGATGAAAATCAAGCTGAACTTTATGACACAGCTCTGAAACTTATGGACTCACTGTTAAAGGCATTTTCAGATGCTCAAATTAAGGTATTTAGGCCACATGAGGAAAATCAGTTTTTTCCACCCGCCGATAAAGTGTCCTCAGTTCCTAAAGCACCTCCTAGGCATAAAAAGCCAACTGCAGAGGAAACATCATCCAACATTAAGAAAATGACTGGGGATAAAATGCCACACATGCACAAAATGACTGAAAAACCTTCATCAAATAAGATACCTTTCCTAGATAAAATACAAGTAATTGATAAAACGCTGGTCAACAAAGTTGTTCATTCTTCTGTATGCAATATCTTGAAGGAATATAAATCTCAAGACTCCATTTGTAAGAATATAAAGAGCAATGGCGAAAATTTAGCAAGAAGACTAACCAGTGCAGTGATAAATGAAATTTTTCAACATCAGCTTAATTTCATATTTTGTGATGAGGTTCTGGCGTCAGCATGTTTGCCTCTGGAATCTAAGGATGTTGTTAGAAAGATCCAAAAGGTGGCACACACAGCCAGCAAAGAATGTCAAACATCATCGCCATACACTGTCATGCTGCCTCACAAATTTTTGGGGAACGTGATTTCTGCGCTTTTATGGAAAATTTTCTCAACAGTCTCCGACGCTGGAGTAGAAACATCTGAGTACAACTGGTTCACAAAACTGGATTTCCTTCAAATGAAACTATTAAATACAGTTACAACAGCAATCTCCAAAGATAAAGATATGACCATACAATATGTAGAATCCTTACATCCCAATGATGATGAAATTATTCAATTAGTGATTCATTCTATTTATAATAATCTCTTGTCACAGTTTGGATCACAAGAGGTAATACAAAATTGTGTGGCCAGCAGATGCAGAATCCTTTCAGAAACCATAGTGGACTTAGTCCTGCAAGAAGTGTCCGGCAACCAATTGCAAAACTATTTTTCTGGAGAGCTGACTCCTCATCAGTGCACAGAAGTTGACAAAGTCGTTGAAAATATTCTTAAAGATGTCATCCAGACGGCTGATGTTCCCCAGCCTCAACCGTCACGTGTTCATATCCTGCCTTATAACATAGTAGAAGAAATTACCGTAAAATTTTTATCAAAGCTTTTATCTATGTTTCCAAATGTGGATGAGGAAAGAACCAAATCTCTAGAAACTGGCATGCAAAAAATAAGCTCAAAAATATTGAATTCAATACAAGAATTTATGTCCAAAAGTATGATAAAACTTGTGCCACCAGCCAAAGAATTGCCTACTGTACCTTTAGCTAACAACGAAATTATCGAAAAAGTGGTTAATTCTGTGTACGCCAGTGTTTTAAAGCACTCTGGCTCTCACACTTCTGTATTTAAAGATTTGATGGGTAGGAGCAATGTCCTCTCTGATGTAATAGGCCTTTTAATGGTGAAGGAAATTTCCAATTCTGAATTTCAACCTCCAGTAGAGGACAAAGTATCAAGTTCGGAATTAGTTCTGGAAGCTGTCAAAATTATAGAAAAAGTGCTCAAAATTGTTGATGAGTTTAAGTCCGGGGAAAAGTCTTCATCCAAAAAACATCCTATGCTAGACGCCAGGCTTTTAGAGGAAGCACTGGCCTTGTTCTTGGCTAAAATAGTAAGGTTGCAAAGTATCTCATGCAAAGATGCAAAAAAAGTATCAAAGCCTGAGTTAAACAAAATTGTATCCCAACTGATGAAATCTGTGACAGCTGAAATTTCCCAGAGTAACATTAATCTTGTTGCTGCTGATCCTGAATATCTTTTAAATTCAGAAAGTATAGAAATGATTTCTCAGGTTATTGATTCTGTTTATAGTAACGTACTGCAACAATCTGGAACCCAGGAGGAACTTTATGATGATCTAAAAGGTACAAACACTGTTTTCCCTAAAAAAGTGGCTAGTTTAATTATTAATGGAGTTTCACATCTTCCAGAAGATGCAGTTAGTGGAAAGAATCCAAATGCTAAACGCTTTGGAAATCTAGATGTTAATAGAATTATTCAAAAGGCCCAAAAGCATGCTGCTATTGATATAACGCATGAGTTACAGGAAGACGAGTCCTATCAAGATTCAACTGAAAATTTTCCGATCAGAATCGTTCCTCATATTGGGAATAAAGCAATGAATATAGATCCAGAAATTATCTCAGATCACTTAGCAGTGATTTCTGTAAAAACTGAGCCTCTTGAGAAACTCAAGATGGAGTGTTTAAGAAAAACTGGACATAGCATAACTGAACTGCGAAGAGCATCAATCAGTGGGAGAAGCTACTCCTTACCAGATACATCTAAGGTAGAAAAGATCAAGAGAGAAAGACGTATCTCATTAAATAGATTGGGACGACTGGATGTAAAACCCTTTGAGGTAAGCGCAAAAGCAATAGCAAAAAATGTAAGTGAATAGTGAGACATGGTTGTTCCGTGATTCCCTTCCTCCAACAGATATATGGGAATGCGTTATTTGTTGTTATTGTCAAGCCCAATAGGATAAACTGGTTGCACGGGTTCATCCGTGTAGTCATATAATTTATTGGGACTTGCCATATCAGCTTGGGGGCTCACTCTAAAGATCTCAGGCTAGTTTTCCTAAGAAAATCAGTTTAAATGGGCATTTTTTTTTAAAGAACAGAAATGCAGGAACATACCCTTAACAGTAAAATAAGGCTGACTGAAATCTTAATCTTCAATGCAAATTCAGAAGAAGCAAAATCTCATGTAATTCGGATAGTATTTGATTGTGGATATCGAACGCAGTTTTAAAAGGCCACTTAATAGAATATCAGGATACATGAGGTTTCAAAAACTACCTAAATACGTTTGACTTCTCAAACTTATAGCTCTACAACAGTAGTGCTCTTTTTACTTTTAGCAACATTCAGTAACAAACATTACACTACAAATGCTAGCGTATGTTTGTTTCTTATTATTTCATTTTAATTAGCCTTCCTTAATTTTCTCTATGCTCTCAGTAAGTGCCCAGTTTGCTCTTCTCTCCCTATTCTGGATCCAGCTGCCCTAATGCTGCCATTTTGATTTCCCCTTGCTATGGACCTAGCTCTGCCCAAAAGCTTCATACCAGGGGCCCAAAGATATTAAACCAGTTATGACTTTAAAAAATGCCAAAACGATGGCCTTGTATCATGGAAACTATACCGCAGAGGACAAAGGGATTGTCTGCCTATACAGTTACATTAACCTAGACATTTTGATTTTTGTCAAATCCCCTTCTACTAATGGGTTTCCCTCATTAGACGACTGAGTGTGTTTAGGGATAATAATCCGTGGCCTAGATAGACAATGAACAAAGTTTTCTAGGACCCTTCTCCCTGGAGCATAAACTTGAAGTGATTTTTTTCCCCAATACTGTCCTACAACACACTGAAGCAAGTCTTAGGGCTAGTAAATATGTTAAGTAGTACTTTATGTTTCATACTCAGATACTGAGATCATCATGAGCTGAGGCACTGATTTAATCTGCTTTGCCCTAAACTTTTTGGCTCAAATGACAGTCCTTTACACATCTAAGATTTGTTCTTCTCTATGTTCTGATACATCTATAACGTTCTAATACCATGTTCCCATCATTGTATTAGCATATTACTTAGTAGTCTTCATTTATATAAAGTAATCCCTTGGGGGTAAAATTTGTGTGGCCTCTAGAATAACATTACTCAAAATTGTTTTTTAATTATCTGTAAAATTGTCTGTTACAAATCTTACTCTTAGTCACTGCCTCACTTTCTAAACCACTAGTTCCCTCTACTAACACAGAAAATCAAAATTGTGTTTTAATTTCTTTAAAAAGTTGTTTCTATATTTTTTTCCATAGAAGATATTCTTTTAGGGCACCATTGTCTGAAAAACTGGCTCACCATATTACAAAGGGATGTCGGGGTCTACGATTATTAAGTCAGTTTGGATGGAGGTTCTGTGGCATCATCAAAAGCTACAGAAATTAGAGCAATTCTGTTACCTAGTTATAGTTGTCTTTTTTTAAATCTGTTTTTAGACATTGAAAATGGAAAGTAAGACTTGACTTGGAGGGTAAAAAAAAAATTAAGATTTATGTTTTGAAGATTCTTTTGGAAAATATAACCAAAGGATCAGGAGTGGAAGAATGGGGATTAAGGAGTCAAAAATCTTTACAAGTTTGGTTATTCATCATCATCTTTAAAAGCCATGATCAGACAATACCTTGTTTTTTTGTTGAATATATATACATTGGTGTTCTCTATGATTGCTGATCTAGAATTTTAGAAAAATAGATATTTCTGTCCCAAAACTTTCAAGGTCAATGAAAAACAAAAAGTAAATTATGACGCAGCAAAATATAAAGCTTAAGAAAAAAAAGAAAAAAGAAAAGAAAAGAAACCAATGTCAGATGTTCCTCTATAATTTGGAATAAGTTCTGATAGATTAAGATGATCTCTGGCATAGAAAATAAATGCTAGATGCAAGCATGTTTTTTTATAACTTTCATTTGTTTCTTCTTTTTAAAACACTGCTAATATACAAGTATAATGGCATTTGAAGATAATATTTCTTAAACTGAAACTAAAAATCATATTAAAATAGCTATCTTACAATAGATCCACAAGAAGAGTGATTGAGGCATTTGTTTTTAATGCTTGTTTTACCTTCAATTCCAGGCTGTTTGCAGAAATTCATTTCAGAATATAAGAAAGCCTGATATCACCAAGGTAGAGCTTTTAAAAGATGTTCAGAACAAAAAAGATCTTATCATTCGGTTAGTAGCTCATGATATTTATCAAGAAGATTCAGTGAATACCATAGAAGAGGGACTAATGTCTGAAGATGAGGTTGTTTTGAAAGAGGTTACACAAGAAGGATCCTTAGAACAATTTGAAGATCAAGTGAAAGAAGCCACGAAGCCAGTAGAAAGCACAAGCAGCCTGAAAAAATTTTTGTCTCTAAGCAAATGTTGTCAGTCCACATCCGGTGTAAATATTGAATGTATTGAAGCAACCTCAGATCACATAATAGAACCTAAGGCGAGAAAAGTTAAAAGAACTATTGCTGAGCTTGACATGGCTACGTGCTCAAGAAACATGACTGAAACAGGCTCTTGGGAGAAAAAGCCACAGAGTAAGGTGAATGAGAAACATAACTGTCAGTGACAGATATCTATGTTTCCATAGAGTAGAGATCTTCAGAAATTCTGTCCAAGAATGTATCTTAATTAGCCAGAAAAGAATACCAAAATTGTTCTAGTCTCCTCCTAAGCCTGGTAATATTTATAGTATAAAAGAAATCATTAACAGACGAAGTCATGAAACTCAATGGAAGGACAGCAGATAATGGAAAGAGACCTAGAGTAGTTAGAAACCCAAGGAGAATAGAGGACAGAAACCATTGAAAAGAAATGCAAGTTAATGGTTTAAATCTATTATTTAACAAATCCCAGTCCTTTTGTATTTTGGCTGGTAAATACCCATTGAATATTTGTGTAAAGAAAACTTATATAGGTAAGATAGCCCTAGAAATTGGGTCAATGTCGGAGGAAGTAAAAAAGACCCATATGAATTTAGATTGAGTTTCAATCCTGACTCTCACTTAATAGCTATGTGTCTTTTGGGTGAGCTACATAGCCAACTTTCTCTTAAAAGTTACTTAGCCAACATGCCCAAAATTAGCAGGCATCAAAATATCTTCAATATCACCCTTACAACTAGCCCATATCCTCCACTGTCCTCATGGGGTGTAGCTCTTGTCCCTACTATCATACACCCCTCAAATGACAGTCGGCATTTCAGTGATCATTAAGGTTGGCCCTGTCCAAAAACTGGTACCAAAACATGTTTTTGAAAAGTATATATGATGTGATATTTCCTGGTGATACAATTATATTGATTATCCAGTTGATAGGATTCCTGGATATACGCAAAAACTGAGATGAACAAGAGAAAAAGAACAGAGATACAACTCTGTTCCAATCATAACCTTAACAGGTAACTTAACACATATTCTGATGTATCAATTGGGAAGCTGTGCGTTATTTCATAACCAGATGCAGTCTTCAGAATAGCTTTCTTAAGCCTCATAGTCAGAAAAGCTGACTTTATAGATAACTAAAGAAACATTATAATATTAGCAAAACTCAAAATGGATTATATGAACTATAATCCCAGTAATAGTAGCTATTTTAAAATTTTAAGAAATTCCACAATAAAGATATTCTCATAAAAAATATGGCCATAAAATCACACTGAATTCCTAACAAATATATTAGAGGACATATTAAGAATGTTGACCAGAAAAGCTTCTCAATTGACCAGAGTTGTCTCTGTTCCTTTTCTTTTTCAACTCAGTAAGATATGATTTAAAATATTTATAAAGTGAAGAAATGGAAAATTATATTCTTCGAATACTGCTTAAGTTTATATTTAAAGTCTATTCAAACTCCAATATTATATATCATCTTCCCTGAGTCATTTCCAAAAAAAAAAGTATCAGAAAGAGACCTTTTCATTAGAATTATGGGATTCATCCATCTTTTAAGTAATCTCTAGAAGTTTTTTTTTCATTATAGTGTAGATTAGAGTGCAAAATATGCCAATAAGTTGAGAAAAGTACATGTCAAACTGTACTTTATGTCACACATGGTTTTCACTTTTCCAGAAAGAAGACAAGACTCTTAATAATGAACCAACACATTACTTCATACATAGAATTATGAGTTCATCCTCATACAACCAAGAAGATCTGATTTCATCTGCCAGGTACATGAAATTAAAGCAATATAACAATAGAAGTCTGAGATAAAAATTATACTTATGGGAAGAATGGCGTCCCTGGTAAAATCAGGGTTGGGCAAGTATTCAACCTTAGACTTTCTTTCCCCCACTCCTTATTCTTCTCTCCTATAGCTTCCCATTGAGGAGACTTGTTGAGGCCTTCCCCTTTTCTACGTAATCCCTCATTTCTAGTTACCTGGTTTCTACATCTTTGCTAGTATAGCAGTGTCTTGGATCAAGAATTTGCTAGTGTGTTTTGGTTTTGGTTTTCATTTTTGTTTTCAATGGGACATAGGCACAATGGTATCTGCACTATCAACCCAAAGAGTTCCTACTCAACTCTCTTCAGTAGTTAAATGTTCTAGTGCAATATAACTGCCCGTAAGAAGAATTCAAAGATTAAAGGAGGCAGTGTAAGGTAGAGCATTCAGAGATGAAGTCTAGAAAACAATGGATCTTGAAAAGGACCTCTAAGTATAGAGAGCATTTACATGAGAAGATAATCCAGGTTTGGACGACTATTGAAACAAAGTCTGGAATGTGTGGCCATTACAGGGGACAGAGAGAGCAAAGCATACTGTAGACTTGAAATCTAATAACTAAGTCTAGGAGAGCTAAAACATGTTTAAAATTTTTCTCAAGTTTCTGAATATTCTCCTAAGCCAGAAGAGGTAACATTTTAAATTATAGGAGAAGAAAAATCTGCCTGGTTACATTTCTTTCCACACAGCATGAAGCAATTGTTTCTGTCTGACACTGATGCACTATTTTGGGGACACCCATCATTGCCTCTTTTTCCTGCATAGTAGTTACTTTAAAATGCATTAGTAATGCAAGCACCTCTCTATTGTTTATATCAATGATGAAGACAGAGGGCACAGATAACATCAAATAAAAGACAATTCAGAGCAAGATGGCAGAACAGGAAACTGTAGGCCCTTGTTTCCTCGGGAAAACAAACAAAGAAAAACAAGTACAATCTGACAAAATAACTTTATATGAGCTCTCAAAACCAAGCAAATATTTGCAATAATAAAGTGAATGTCTAATCAAGGAAAAGCCACATTCAAAATGGTAGGAAATTCCAGATTTTTGTTTGCATTTGTCTAGTCCCCTCTGCAACATGACAAGACACGGTTGGGAAGAAATGGCCCAATTCCCAGTTCCCTCTCTTGGGATGGAAAAGGCAGATTAGAACTTGTTTGTATTGTGCTTCTATCCGTGGGCTGCCTGAGGGAATGTTTCTGTCTCACCTAAATAGACTGAGACAGTGGCATAGTTTGGAGCTCTGCCTGGAAATCACAGAAGGAAGCTAATGGGTGCCAGAGTGTGTGAAAATCACAGGGGACTACAAAATGCACCTGAGAGCAGGAGATTACTGCCAAAAGTATACAATGAATATTGAAGACCCTGGGAAGAAGCACGATGGGAAGCATTCTTGGGAAATAAAACATTTAAAAGAAGATCAGAGGGAAGGGAGTCCTCGAAGTTTGGCTGGGAAGATGGCAGAAGGAGGACCCTAGGCTCATTTTGTCCCGTGGACACAAGTAGGTAACACCCATGCGAGTGTAAGTAACATAAGCAATTACCTGAAGACTGGTATGGGAAACTCCATAACTAAAGGCAAGGAAGAGGCCATGTTGAAAAAGGTAGAAAGGGTAAAAACATGGTCTCAGAGCCAAATGGACAATGGCCTTTATTGGTAGGGAGCAAGCCAATGGCATAGAGAAGGGCAGAAAACAGATTTTCATACTGAGAAGCCACAAATGGGGAGGATGAATCTCTATAATATTTGCCCTTGAAAGTGAGTGGGACTAAATTTCATGAGTTCCTAAAACCAGCAGGACTTAAAGTCTATTATTTTAAAAATCATCAGGCTTGGCTGTGGTGCAGCCCAGAGGTGTTAGGAAGCGGAGCCCCTGCCCTTAAAAAGACAGCCTGACAAACAGCCCATGCAGATACAGCCTAGAATCAGCAGTTTGAAAAATGCAGGGGACTGACAGGAGGAGAGTGATCTGCTCGTGTCAGAGAGTGTACCTGAGAGAGACAGGGATCATGAGGAGACCCCTCTGGGAACAAAGGAGATGTCAGGTGTCATGTCCCTCCCCTGCCCCCAGCATAAACAACGGCCACCTGTGGGAACCAGTACAACACTGACACTCCTTACCTAACTTGGTTGGATCAAGTCCCATCCCCCAACACTTCAGCAGATTTACTCTTCTCGGTCATGCTTACTTCACTCTTGACACTGCAAGCCCTTCCCCCAGAAAACCAGCACAAACTCAGTCAATACCATATCACCTGACCCCTGAGTATTTTGCAGGACCTCAGTTCCAGCGGCAATGGGGAAAGGTCTCACTTTGCAAGCAGACCACTGCACACCTTGCTGCCCACAATAGGCAAAGGCAGCCTCTGCAAACAATTGGACTAAAGAAAAAAGAGATGGTCTCTCTCTGCCTATGTCTCTGCCTCTCTTTGTGTCTCTCATGAATAAATAAATAAAATCTTAAAAAAAAAGAAAATGTCATAAACAAAAACGCATTTAATACACCTAAACTACTGAACACCATAGATTAGCCTAGCCTACTTTAAACATGCTCAAAACACATTAGTGTACAGTTGCACAAAGTCATCTAACACCTATTTTATGATAGAGTGTTAAATAAAAGGCAAAGCATAAGGAATATAATCAATGATAGTGTCGTATGGGGGCAGATGGTAGCTACACTTGTGGTAAACATGGCATAATGTATAAACTCGTCAAATCACTAGGTTGTACACTTGAAATTAATTTGAAATTAATATAGCGTGTGTCAACTATACTTAAATTTTAAAAAGTAATTAAAAAACTCATGGATTGGAAGATTTACTATTGTTATGATGTTAATAATTATACGAAGTATTCTACGTATTAGTATTTTTTTTAAAGATTTTATTTATTTATTCATAGACACAGAGAGAGAGAGAGAGAGGCAGAGACACAGGCAGAGGGAGAGGGAGAAGCAGGCTCCATGCAGGGAGCCCGATATGGGACTCGATCCCGATCCCCAGTCTCCAGGATCACACCCCAGGCTGCAGGCGGCGCCAAACCGCTGCGCCACCAGGGCTGCCCCGTATTAGTATTTTATAAGAATTATATTTGATGGCATTCTTTTTTTTGGCAGAAGTAGAAAAACATTCATTCTAAAACTGATATGGTCTCTCAAGGGACTCCTAATAGCCAAAACAATGCTGAGAAGAAAGAACAGAGTTAGATTTACTAATTTTAAAACCTACTGCCAAGACATGGTAATGAAAACAGCATGGTCCTGGCATAAAGACAGATATATAAAGCGATGGAATAAAATAAAAGGCCTATACATAGATTTTTCATATAAGACCAAATGATTTTTGATAAACATGCCAAGGCCATTTAATGGGAAAAGGATATTCTCAACAATGGTGTTGGGAAAACTAATAACCACACACACACACACACACACACACACTGAAGTTAGACCCTTACCTTATACCAGATATAAAAATTAACTCAAAATGGATCAAAGATCCAAGTAAAGCTATAGACCTCTTATAAGAAAACATGGGGGGAAGGAGCACATGGGTGGCTCAGTTAGTTAAGCACCTGACTTTTGATTTCTGCTCGGGTCATGATCTCAGTGTTGTGAGACTGAGCTCTGCGGTCAGTGGAAAAGCCACTTGGGATTTGCTTTCTCCCTCTCTACCCCTCCTCTGCCCCCTGCTAGTGCACATGTTCTCTCTCTCTCTCTCTCTCTCAAAAATAAACAAAAACAACCAAAACACACACAGGAAAAAGCTTCATGACATTGGATTTGGCAATAATTTCTTGGATATGACACTAAAAGCACAAGCAACAACAAAAAATTTGCATAAACTGGACTCCACCAAAATTAAAATCTTTTAGCTCCAAAGGATAGAGTGAAAAGTCAACCCAGAATGGGAGAAAACTCTTGCAAATAATCTATCTAATAAGGGTCACTATATATAAAGAACTCCTGTAACTCAATAACAACAACAAAAAAAATCAAACAACTTGATTAAAAATTGAGCAAAGGACCTGAATAGATATTTCTTCAAAGAAGATATACAAATGGGCAATAAGTACATGAAAAGATATTCAACACCACTAATCATTAGGAAAATGCAAATCAAAGTCACAATAAGATACTGTTTCACATCCATTAGGGTATCTCTTGTCAAAATAGAAAACAAAACCAAACAGAAACAGAAAATGACAAGTGTTGGCAAGAAAGGGAGGAAATTGGAATCCTTGTACATTGCTGTTGGGTAATTAAAAATGGTGCAGTTAAAAAAATAAATAAATAAATAAATAAATAAATAAATAAATAAATAAATAAAATAAAATAAAAATGGTGCAGTTATAAATAAAATCTTTAAAAAGGGGGGGGTGGGGATGCCTGGGTGGCTCAGCAGTTGGGCATCTACCTTTGGTTCAGGGTGTGATCCCAGAGTCCCGGGATCAAGTCCCACATTGGGCTCCCTGCATGGAGCATGCTTCTCCCTCTGCCTATGTCTCTGCCTGTGTCTTTGTGTGTCTCATGAATAAATAAATAAAATCTTTTAAAAAATTAAAAAATAAAAATGGTGCAGTTGCTGTGGGAAACAGTATGACAGTTTATCAAAAAATAGAATTATCATATGACCCAGCAATCACACTTCTAGATATATACCCCAAAGAGTTGGAAAGAGTCACTCAGGTATTTGTACACTCGTATTCATAAGCAGCATCATTAACAACAGGTAAATCACGGGAGCGAGTCAAGAGTCACTGATAAATGAATGGTTAGGCACAATGTGGAGTACTCAATTCAATAGAATATTATTAAGCCTTAAAAAGGAAATTTTGGTACATGCATTGCATAGGAACCTTGAAGACATTAAGCTAAATGAAATAAGTCAGGCACAAAAGGACTGTGTACATGATCCCGCTTACATGAGATGCCTCAGGTAGTCAAGTCATAGAGGCAGAAACCAAAATAGTGGTCACTGGGAATAGAATGAGAGGGTAATGTGGTGTTAATATTTAATGGGTTCAGAGTGTCAGTGGAGGAGGATGAAAAAGTTCTGGGGAATGGATTGTGCTGATGGCTGCATAATAATGAGAATGTATCCAAGCACAGAACTGTACACTTAAAAATCATTAGGTGGCAAATTTCGTGCTATGTATATTTAACCAAGATTTTAAAAGTGGGGGAAAAGTCAATTGAAAAGTGATTTCATTTGGTTTGGAAACTCTGTGATAAATTATTTCAGGTTTTCTTCCATATGAAGAATAACTGACAGGTTGTTCATTTGATTAACCAGTAATTTCTTCACGTTCAATTAAGACACAGAAAATGAAATGTTCTCTTTCTTTTGTTTTAGTGAGACTGAAGATTTCACCACAGATTCAAGCAACAAATTATTAGAAGGTTAGATTTACTATTTTTCTTAAATTAGAAAGCATTCGAAAGGAGACTGCTCTACTGCTTTAATGAACTTTTTAGTTATTGCCTTTGTTTGTTTACTGCTTTGATGAATTTTTAGTGATCAAACCTGGGGTTGATACTTTTTCTTTTCCTGTGAATTTACCTATTTTTTGGAAAATAATCCAGCACTACATCACTCAGGTGTTAAAATGAGCCAACTCATTTGCTTTTGCCGAATTGCTATCAAGATTTTATTAATGATTTTGCCCAAGCAAATGGTGACATTGTGAATTCACATTTACCATGCTCATATGAAAGATATTCATAAAACAAGAATGCATCACACAATAGTTTTATCCATTATACTAGGATTTAATGATTTCTTACCCTTCCTTTGTACTTAGCCCTACCAAAATGTACAATATATATATATATAATGTGTGTGTGTGTGTGTGTGTGTGTGTGTGTGTGTGTGTGTGGAGGGAGAGGTTTTGAGCTAAATTTATTTTCTCACATTAATATCTGACTAGTATGGATTTAACTTTTTAAAAAAATATCTATTAGTACCTACTCCTTGGAACATTCATGAGAACTTTTTGGTTGTCTATTTTTTGAAACCTCAGAGAATCAATGTGGTTCTAACAGTGATCGTACATACAAGAGGGAGAATGTTATGTTTATTGCAAAGTGGCCTCAAAATCAAACCAAAGGTTTACCATTGGCTATTTCAAACACACAACCCACTCAAGGAATTGCTTCAAAAACATATTCTCTCAGCTTGGAAGTAAAATGATTTTTTTAATTAAGATGATTCCTAGAATAGCAATAAATATGCCTGAATTCCATGAACACACCATGATCAGATGATGTCACAATAATCACTGATCATAGCTGTAGGATGGAATCATTAGGCTGCCAGAGTCAGAAAGAAACCATCATGTTACCCCATCTCCTCTGGGACACCAAGAACCTAAAACAGGCATGTAGTAGGAAGACCATTTAGTAAAATGAGAGAAACAATGGGAATAACTTATGAGAGGCACAAGAATTCTCTTTTAGTTGTTTTGGGATTGAGGTACCCATTAGATATTCAAGTTGAGGTGTCACATCTGAAGCAATAGGATGTTTAAGATTGGAGTTTCATGGAGAGGTTAGAGCTGGAAAGTTATATAGTTTCCTATAGATATACAACTTAAATCTGAATATCTGAGTTCCTCAATTAACAGGAATTTTTCTGTGACTTCTCATTAAAACATAGTGTATCCTGGGAAGTGGACAGCCATTTAGCCTGGAAAATTAAAAACTTGTATGACATGGAATGATAGCCCTGGAAGTAAACCCAACACCCTCAGTCATTTTAAAGTAAACATCAGTTCAATTATGTACAATATAGAGATGGGCAGTTTAGAAAGATTATCAGCAATAAAATTTTACCAATACTGTTGGATAAGTGCAATAATCTGTCCCTCTCGTATTTGGGTTCACTGAGGTTTTACTACTACTTTTCTTCCCAAAGCCTACATTGACCTAAAGGATAACGCAGAGAATGACCACTTGTGTTGGCCCTTGACGATTGCATGTCTATAAAATACACAATTTTTATATGTAAGATATCTCCTTGCATCCTTTTTGTGAGACAAGCAGGGAAGATGGTCTCATTCACATTCTACGCAATGAGGAAACAGAGTCAAATAAGTTAGATTCAATTTGCCAGTGTCCACACAGCTCTAAGCAGTGAAGCTAAGACTCAAATTCAGATTTTCTGCTTCCCTAGTGGTGAGTCTTTGTGAAATGTTCACATCATCTCTTACTCCTTCAGCTAAATTTGTTTAACAGGCATAGTAACCTTCCCTGGAACTCAGGAAGCTCTTGGTTCTGCAGCACTTCCTCTTGATAGTGTCTCAAAAGTCTCCTGGTTCTCACTGAAAGCATTTCATAAGACCAGCACTTTCCTGTTTGTTCCAATTATCTGCTTTTAATTAGCTATGTAGAATCAAAGAGCATTAGAGCTGGGAGGCCTCTAGGAATCATCTATAAGGTAATCCCTCAATTTACATGTAAGCAAATAGGCCTATAGAGATTGGATAGTTGTGCAAAGATATGTGGCTACTAAGTTACAGAGGCTGCCTCTCCTACCAAGTCATGTCATCTTTCATAATTCCTGAAGGAAAGTCTAAGACATGCCTCAGAATTCTGGGGATCTCTCCCATTTCAGTTTTGTTCCCATGGTCTGTACACTGAAAGTAACAATTTCTTCTACCTGCCTGAATTCTAGAACTCTCTGATGAAAAATAATAAGACCATGTATGTCTCAATATTATTCATGCCTCCAAAAGAAAAATAATATTTTTCCTTCCTCCCCCCACCCCCAACAGGAAATTCTCAGGAGCAAAGGCCAGAGAATTCAAACAGTCTTAAGGTAAATATTCTTCAATAAACTGTAATTGCAGGATGTCTTGGTGGCTCAGCGGTTTAGCGCCGCCTTCAGTCCTGGCTGTGATCCTGGAGACCCAGGATCGAGTCCCACATCGGGTTCCCTGCATGGAGCCTGCTTCTCCCTCTGCCTGTGTCTCTGCCTGTTTCTCTCTCCCCCTCTCTGTGTCTCTCATGAATAAATACATAAATAAATCTTAAAAAAATAATAAAATAAAATATAAAATAAAATAAATAAAATAAATAAAATAAAATAAAAATATAACATAATTGGCATACAGGAGGTCCAGCTGACTATGAGCCCAGTTTTCAAGGTCAAATCAGGGCTTAGGTGGTAGACGTGAGGAACGTCAGAGGTGCACCCCTATTCCCAATTTCCTCCTGCTCATATCTCTCCCTCTGGTTGAGGCCTGTCCATGGGACTGGAGAAATCCCCTAATTAAAATTCTCACCTTACAGTTAAATTATTCCTTGCTTAAGTGCACAGAATAAGCCTGGGCATCATTTAATGGTGGCTGAGGCCCACATTAAAGACAAGGGTAAATCCTAGGTGCCATATTTGGCAAAAATTATGAGCCCAAGTCTCTGAGAATAGTTCTGAGATTTCAGAGAACAGAAAACTAATTCATGTAAGGTTCTACATAAACATACATGGCTGTACTACATCTTCGGAGGGATTTCTAAGTATCTTTAGTCTATTGTGTCCAATAAAACATTAAGTATGTACTTTGCTTTGTCTTGACAGTTTATCACCATCTTTGAAGGAAACAAGAATATTCATGGCAGTGGGTATTCCTCAAAAGAAGTCATTTCAGGTACAAAATACATATCCTTTAACATTCCTCTTGGAATAACTGGCTCCTGCCTTGCAAAATTGACATCTATTATCCATATGAGATTGAAATAATATTATGTACATGTATGTGTGTATAGTAAATTGCAGCTTATTATGAAGTTCTTTGACTTTAACCTCAAACCACAGTAATAACTAATGGAACTAACATTTATTAGGTACCAGATTTATCTGCATTTTATTGAAGAGGAAAGTGAAAGTCATTGAAGAGAAAAGTGAGAGTAGGTTACTCAAGGTCACCGCATAGCTAAGCTGCAGAGCTGAGGTTCAACACAGATCTGCCCAACTTCAAAGCTTAAGCTCATTCAGTATGACCATGATTCATACATTCAAATGCTCACGGGAGCCAGACAAGTAATATAAACAAGAGAGGAGGTAGGTTGAGTAGGGGTCTCTGGTGCACTGGAGATGGCATGCCCCCTCTATAGGAGGGAGCTGGACTCAGGTCCAGTCACTGACAAACTGGGTTGTTGCTAGATCTCCAGTTCAAGTCTTGGCATTTTTCAAAACAAGCTGGAGATGAAAGTTTTATGTGAAAATTCCCAACTTTTAAATTTTATCAAATAATTCAAAGCTTTTGTGAAATATTTTTGTGGACCAAACAAAACTTGTCTACATCCCTTACACCATCCTAATCTCCCTCTGTCAACCATAAAGCCCTAATTTACAAAAGAGAAAACGGAGGTAACAATTGCCTGAGTTTACAAAGTCAACAAATGGAGAGCTCTCAGAGCTCAAAAACAGATCTTCTGACTTTGATCCTCCATTCTTGTTTTCCTCCATAAGGTGGTTCCATATTGTAGCCGCTGCATCGCAGAATGAGCCCCATATTGGGTAATGACCAAAGTTAGTCTATAGCTTTGCTATGAAAAGAACTATCAACAGACAAACACAGGGGTTCACTAATCTCTCTAGGGATGAGTTTCACATATGTCATTAACCTATGATACTAGCCACCCACAGGTCTTGAACAAGATAAAGGGAATCTAATAATAGATGCATATTTGAGAAAGTGTCCTCAGGAGATATCGTTCTTCCTATCTCCCTCACAAGAGTGTTAGAAGGATCAAATCAAGAGTCTATGTGTTTTTAAATCCCATAAAGTATTTTAAAATGTCTCTTTCTGAATTCTATCTGAATCATCAATGCTGTAGTATAACTTCTCTCAGTTAGAATGTCTAATAAATAGCCATATTATTTTTCTGCTTTGTCCACAGAAACTGCCAAGCCTAGTATTTCCAAACAAGGATCTAAAATGCTGGCGAAGGTATCTTCAGCTCTGTCAAAGGTGTTTTCTCGAACTAACACCAATATTTCCAAACCTTCCTCATCATCTCACCAGGATGAGCATGAAAGCTTTTATACCTGATGCTTACTTTCCTTAGAAAATAAAGTGGTTTTTACAGCAGAACATAATGTCCTATGAGGTGATGTTTATAATACTAAGCAAAATTTTAAGAGCAAAGAAAAGTGCAATAGTGATCTGGGTAAGAGAAAGTTTTGATGAATGCTTTTAATAAGCATCTTGGTATGAGAAGAGGCAGGGCATTAGTATTATATGTGTACCATAAGGATAGAGACAAAAAAAAAATGAACCTAGTAGCCAGTCAGCACTAAGCATAAAAGTATACCCAATATATAAAATCAGTCTTTCCCATCCACAGGTAATGTCTCATCAGTTTGTAAAATACCTCCCAAGCAAAAAGATAAAACACAAAGAAATTAATTACTGTGGATAAAATACTATGTATGCATAGAATGACTCCTGTAACTCAAAAACAAACAAACAAACAAAACAAAACCTTTTTCAGAAAAGAGAAAGGTATTTTGTGGATAAAAATACCATCAATAAGTAAATTGTTGGTCAGCAGTCATTAAATCCTTTATATAAATATTTTTCATGAATATAAATAAAGGCTTGATTTGTAAGAACATAAAAAGTAATGAAAATTTAACAGGAACAACTGCCACAGTGATAAAAGAAACTTTTCAAAATCAGTTAACGTGCTACTCTTTGATACAGATTCAACTTCAGCATGTTTGCCACTAGAATCCAAGAATCTTGTTTAAAAGATCCAGAACAGCAAAAAGTGTCAATCATCATCACTATCTACCCTAATGCTGAGTCATGAATTTTTAGAGATTGTGACATCTCTTTTATCTAAAATTTTCTTGACAGTAGCCAGTGCTAAAGTAGAAACATCTGAGAAAATTTTGTTTTACAAAATTGGAGTTTAATAAAGTTAGTGAGGTTATGATAGGGAGCTCCAGAGAAAAGGATGTGTTTATATGGTAGAATTTCTACATTCTAACGATAATGAAGTTATTCAATTAGTAATTTAGTCTATGATAATCTCAAATTATTTGATCTCAAAGATCACACAAAATAATGTAACTTGTAGATGTTTTCAAAAGTGATAGTTGATGAGAAATGACTGGCAGTCCAGAACTATTTTTAAAAGAATTCTACCAATGGGCTTAAATCGACAAGTATTAATTGGAAGTTTCCTTACAGATGTCATCAGAACCACCGATGTTTGATATCTTATGCTTTTAAGCTGTCTTTTAACATAAGATTTTGCTGTAAAAATGTTTATCAAAGGTTTTATCCACCTTTTCAAAAGCTGATAAGAAAATAAATCTCTCCCAAGGGAAATTTAGTTGGATTTCAAGGCACTCTGATTCACGTAGTTCTCAGATACTTTTTATGTAAAGGGCAAGACAATAAACACTGTAGGTTTGCAGAGTATATGATCTCTTTCCAAGCTATGCCATTGTGCCTTTGTAGCACAGAAGCAGCCATAGAAAATATATAAACAAATAATGTGGCTGTCTGTGATCCAGTGAAATCTTATTTACAAAGAGTAAAACTTGAACTTTAATTTTCACATCAAAAATATCATTCTTCTGATTTTTTTCAGTGATTAAAAAATATAAAACTATTTTTAGCTTGCAAGCTGGTCAAAAAGAGATGGCAGGCTAGATTTATGCCATTGGTGGTAGTTTGTTCAGCCATTTAATGTAAAATATAAAAATTTGGGACCCATACATTAATTGAGAGTATGATATGAAGGACACAGAATTTTCTAAAAACAATAAACTTTACTAGTGAAGTACATTACAAAAAAATGAGTGATTATTCAAAAACTCAGTACATAAATTTCAAACATTCATCTCTTTAGTGATTTAGTTATTGAATATATTGCCAAGAAAGCACATAACCTTCCATTAAAATATACCTTGAGTTAGAAAAAGAAAAGTTAGACCAAATTTAATTTGAAGCTGAATTTCTAGTGAAAGTTATTTCTTACCTTGGGAATAGCTAGTCAAAATCAATCTACTAAATGCTACTAAGGTATTCATTTAATGCTACTAAATTATACATTTTTAAATGGTTAAAATGGTAATCTTCTGATAAAATGGTTGCTTTTATCATAATAAAGTTTAAAAATATTTTGAAAAAGAAACCACACAAATTCTGGAGGTAAAGACTCCAATAACAAATAAAAAATTTACTAGAGGTGTTCAACAGCAGAGTTAAGCAAAGAGAAGAAACAATCACTGAACTTGAAGCTAGGACAATTGAAATGATTTAGTTTGAGGATCAGGAAGAAAACGAATGAAGAAAAGTGTATATAGCCTAAAGGACCTATAGGAGATCCCATGAAGCAGACTAAAATATGCAGTATGCAAATCCCAGAAAGAAAGGAGGAAGAAAAAGGGACAGAAAGAAAATTTGCAGTATACCTTCATATATACCACAAATCTTTCCTTTTTTTTTTTTTTTTTTTTTTTTTTTTTTTTTTTTTTTTTACTGTGTCCTAAAGCCAGATGTCCTCAAGTTGCTAATTTTATACACCAGTTTTAATTTAGGAGCTTAGCTGGTCAACAATTTTATCTCATACTCTATTTTTGGAAAAGCATAGATTTGATGACCAAATGCAATGTGCAATTTTCCTCAGCATGGTCAGAAATGCATATAGAAGAAAACTTTAAGGCATTGTTTTCTTATATCAAACTCTTCTTTGTCTAATATCTAACTTGCACTTTTTCCTAAAGGTGATCTATTACTGAACCAACAGATTATTGCATAAATAGAATTGTGAGTTCTTATTCAGATATCTAAGAAGATCTGATTTCATCTGCTGCTTATAGTCAGTTAAAGCAATTAAAAATATAATTCTGAGATATAATTTATGAGTTTGCTAAGATAAGGCCCTTGACAACATTGACTACTTAAGCATTCCTCCATTCCCCAACTCCCTAGTAAAGTCAGTTCCTAGACCTACCTTTTCCATCTGCTTCCCCATTCCTGTTTCCCTAATTTCTACTTTCTTTTCTTGAGACCTACTTTGCTGTGCAATGATATGATGGATAAAATTGTTGCTAACGTGTTAGATTCTTTAAATGGGAGACAGGCACTTAGCAAGAGGGCCTTTGCACTCTATTCCTTTTTACTTTAGGCCCTTATTTTTCTTTTTAGTGTACAATTTACCCAGTTTATAAATAAATCTTAACTCTTCTTAAACTTGTAAACACGATTTATAATCTGTCACTTAAATGGTTACTTGCAAATATAGTAATTTATGTTAGAATTGAAAGCACTACTTTTACTCATATTTTTTGTTTAATACTAAGTCTATCATTTTGGCAGTGTGGAATTACAATAAACATTTACCACAGTTTACAAATTTCATTACGCAAATTCTTTAAGATATTTCAAACTACATGAAAAAAATAGTCTATTTTTCTCAAGCATTCAAAATATCTACATCTCAATCTAGACAACAAATGCTTCCTACTAATCAAACTTTTAAATGTAAAAAATTGGATTTTTAAATTAGAAAAAAATTCTAAAGTATTTCAAATAAAGCATAAAGAAAACATAATGATTGTAAAATTTGTCAAGTACAGCCCCACACACATATACAGATAAGTATTATTATGATTGCAAGAGAGTTTTAAGTGTTGTGACCAAAAACAAGATTTTTGGTGATGGATTTCATTGGTGGGTATCTAATATGAGAGTGCCTGAAATGACTGAAGGTTGCCAGAAACAACTCAGTGGTCACCATTCTAAGGACCGAACCAATCTAAGAGCAGTGATCATGGAGGCACCCCAACTGACAATATTTACTCAAATGAAAAGTTATCTTCAAAAGACTATTTGTTCTCTGACACATTATTTAATGGACTGAATATATAAGCAAAAGAGACTACTTAAACAGGAAAGACTTAAGATGCTATAGATTAAGTAGTTTATTTCCCAATAAGCAAAATGTGATTCCACAAAAGTCCATAGAAAGGGATATTAGAAAATTTAGAGAAAGACAAAGAGACTAATGTTTTCTCTGAATGCCTGAGTATCGCCTGAATAAATTTGCAAAGGTTGTGTCTGGAACTTTTGGCTATGGCTTTGAAGAGTTTAATAAAATCCTCCTCTTCCTCAAAAAAAGTATAAAATTAAATGAAATTGTTAAAGCGAACAATGTGAGGAATATGAAAATAGACCTAGGGCAAACAGAAAATTGGGAAGGGGTTATTCATAACAACCTGCCATAATTTCAGGTAAGAACAGAAAGACCTGCCATAATTTCAGGTAAGAACAGAAAGAGATCTGGTTTTGCATAAGGCTGCTCCTATCATCTCTCTCTCCAATTTGGTCACCTGGGACAGTTTTTTTCCAGGCATGGATGACCACCATAACCAGAAGCTTTTTTCTAGAACAAGCACATGATTTGAGGCAGAAGGTAAAAACCTGAGGTGATTTTCTCATTAATGGTAGTAAACTAAGTAGAAAAGAAAGGAGAAAAGCTGACACTGTGCTAGGACTGGTTTGTAGTCATGGTTGGTACACAGAGAGCTCTGTGGGGATTGGCTTATAAGGTGAGATAAGCTATCCGCACATTCCTGGCTAACTAAGACACTAAGTACAAGCATCGGGGATACTTGAGAGACCCTGAGATCTTGGATACTGAGGTACCTCAGATACTAAAGAAGTGAAAGCCCAGAAAGAATAGAAGATTGGCTGTATTTTTAATGGATTCTAACACACATACATGATTCAAGTGAGGTTTAAAGCCTTAAGGACTTAAGGCATCTGAGCATATCCTCTTCCCCAGTCATTGACTGATACATAGCTCCACAGCCCCAGAAGTGACCATTAAGATACCAGGCTAAGAGCTAAATAAATAGAATAAAAAAATATGAGGACAAAAATATCCAGATACATTCTTTGAGGTGACATATTTTATGACTTAATCCAGAAAAGTTACCAAAAAAAATTTTAAAAACAAAGGAAAATGAATTTAAAAATGTAAAAATAAAGCAGACTTGTTGTATTACCTAAAATGTACAGTTGTCAGTAAA